AATGGTTTGCTCACATCACTTATGTATTGGTAAGCTATTTGTGGATAATAATAATAATAGCTGGGTATTTCATTCTCAGCATTATTTCTATTCAAGTGCGACTGCTGGTGATTCGAGGTGTTAATATCAGTATAAGCCTAATTCAACTATAAAGAGGTATAATCCTGCTGTAATTGTAATACTACTATTATTTCAGTTCATTTGTGTCCAGTGAGTCCTAATTTATTTGTTCGCTTACATCTATCTACTGTACATGTCAACTAATTTAAGTATTTAAATATTTACTGTACTCTGGTTTTCATTTTTTTTTACTTCTCCTTGGTCATTAAGTATGATGATTAAGAATATAACGGAAAAATGCACACCTCATGGGCTGTTTCTGTTGTTTCACGGGTACGACAGAGAAATAGAGAAAAAAGTGGTGTAAGAGTCTTAACTTAATAGGCTTATTCATGGAATTCATCTGAATAATATCACAAATAAGTGGAAGATAATCAGATGGGAGTGTGATAATAAACGAAAATTGATTGGAGTTCCTCTCTGCCTTCTTAGCATCAAGATTATCTCACGCCACTGTTCACAGTTTTGATATTCGTACCAAATTTACATTCTTTAGGATCACAATCTGTACGAGGTGACGTTTTTGGACAAAATGTGACAATTCATTTTTCAGTACCATCAAGCAAATCCGTTTATCAACTGGTTGACATAACAGAATGAACAAGCTGTCATATATTATCACTGATTTCTTCTACCTTTTAGGCCCACCTAGGTTGCATCTCATCAGTAAACTAGTTTTGTCAATCGCTGATCATGCCTGCGTAGTGACTTTACTCCTTCGAAGAAAATGTAATTGCTTAAATAACAACGTTTATTATTATAGCTAGTTGTACCAGTGAACGTTTTACTTAATATTTGTTCATTCGTACTTTTTTACGCAATGACTTTTGTACTTTTTGTATATATACTAACATTACACTGAGGTCTCCATCTTGCTTTTGCTGCTCTGTACCCTCGCTCAATCCACTTCAGCGAGTCGAGACTACTAATCACGAGATAACCAAGTTAAATCCCGTCAATCGGAAAATTAGTAGGCAGGCTGTGATTGGAGGACGAGGTGTATTGACTGACGGTCGCATGAAATCGAAAAGATTTCGAGAAGACTAATTCACCACAGATAAAAACCACCAAGGCAACTGAGCAACGTTAGCCACACGTCGAACGGGTAAGTAATGTTCTTGAGTACGGTTAAACAAATGGGGTACAATAAAACGATTACCGTTACAATTAAGTAAAATAATAAATTTTTCCACTTCACCAATTGAGTTCTCCTCGTAAAAGCATTCCACTACACCTATAACAAATTTCAGTATTATTTCGATATCACGATATCACCTGTTTCGTATGGTTAATTCTTCTTCTCTTCAATAAAAGATTTGGGAAAACGACGGAGACCTAAACTTACTTGTTTTATAGACGTGTTCATAGACTTTTGACTAGTACGTCTGCATCCATTAAGAAGGGCCTAAAAGTGCCTTTTCATAAATAAACTAATTTATTCAGAATAGGTGAGTATTGAGTTTGGAGATAATTCTGAAAAATGGAGTAACCAAACTAGCGTATCTTGTAACTCATGAGAATGGAGCTAAAGGGTCATCATTGATCTCGCGATATACGTTTATGCAAAAACCTATAAGAGACTAAAGACATCATTCTCAACAGTTGAAAATTGAATAACATGTTTTTTAATGCGAAATCTCGAAGACAGTGAATCCATGTTTGTTTCAAAGTGGCCAAAGGGTAAGTGCTGTGTAAACTAGGTAGGCTTATAAAGTGTCCTCAATAATGGGGAACGTTTCCAAGCAGACACAAAACAAACCGCAAAGATGATCCACTCTCTCTTCGAAAAGATTTCGGAAGACGAACAAGTACCAACAGACTTGAAAGATATTTCATGCAGACACCAAAGATAGATCTTGTAAGTGCGAGAACTACAGAAGAACCACATTTATATTAGTACCAAGAGAAGTCTTCAACAGAGTTTCGTTGAATAGAATGAACGACCTCGTAAACGCTCAACTTCCAGTTCAACAGGTCGGGTTCAACGAGGATCAATCACGTACTGACCAAAGCACGACAATGAGGAGCGTGGCGAACATATAAATGAATGCAACTCACCACTACACATCGACTTCTTTGACTACGAGAAGGCATTTGACAACGTTGACAGGATAACATTACGGAAACTTCTTCAACACTACAGTGTACTTGAGAAGATAGTCAACATCGAGCAGAATTCTTATGATGGATTGGATTGCGAAATCTTGCATGGGGGACAGCACATAGACCCATTCCAAGTGAGCTGGTGTCAGACAAGGATGCCTTTTCTTCTGGTGGTTGACTGTATTATAAAGACGTTAACATTTGGCAGGGGGAAGCACGGAACACAGTAAACAAGTGGGACGCAACCAGACGATTCGGACTTTGCGGATGTCCTAGCTCTTCTATCTTACATACAGCAACAAATCCAGACGGAGATGGCCAGTGTAGCAACGCCAAAAGCGCAGTAGGTCACAACACACAAGGTTAAATTTATTTTCCTCCGATACAACACAACATGCAACAACCAATTCGCACTTGACAGAGAAGCTCTGGAAAATGTGAAGACTTTTAAATACCTGAGAAGTATCACTGATGAACAAGGAAGATCTGATAATGATCTAAAGGCAAGGATTAGTGAAGCAAGGGCAGAATGTCTGCAGCCGAAGAACATCTGGAACTCCAAACAACTATCAACCAACACCAAAGTCAATACGGACGTCACGACAGCTCTGTTGTACACAGCTGGGACTTGGAGAACTACGAAGACCATCATCCAAATGTGAAGGTGTTAATAAACAGTTATCTGCTCTAGGTACCGTAGATCCGTTGGTCAGAGCCGATCAGCAACAACTACTCTGGGCGAGAACAAACCAGATTTCAGATGACAAAAAAATTACTGAAACTCGCTGAAGGTGCTAAAGCCACGTTTTGAAAACCATTCACGTGAGTCACAGTGTGACCCCTAACTTAAAAGCTTCATGGTCGCAGAGTGTTATCAAACAAGTAGACAAACGATGCAAAGTTAAGTGGAAGATGGTGTGCGTTAGAGGAAAAAATAATGATTGGCTTAACTTGGAAAAGTACTATGGTTTTCTGTATAAGTTGATTATATTTTCATTTGTTTTCATTTACTTTGTTTATGGACTGATGGCGCACGAGAGGACTAAACCACCCCTAACTGCTGTGGTTTCCGTTGTATTCTGATAAGTAGGAACCAACAGATTACCTGTGTTGGTCCTAGTAATCAACACTCCTCAACAGAATAGTTTTTTTTATCGAAATCTAATGCACTGTAGATCTTGTGTCCTCGTAAACATTATTAACCAAGCTGCGAACACTTTATAACTCTTAGTTTTCGTTAGTATGACCTTGCCTTCGGCATCATCCACTTGAATTCGCAGCCTAATCACGGCTAAAATTGAGGCTTTTATTATTTCTAGTAGTGTTTGTGATTGCAAATATTCGGTATGATTCTTGAACGTCCCGGAAGCATAAGGTCATTGATAACTCTATAAACATTTGCATTTTTTGAACACGAATTAACCTTGGAGTACAGCGTTCCTCTTTTACATCACACCTTTTCTTATATTTTTAAGTTGCAGTGTAGATTTTGGTCTGAGCTATTTGGAATCAGATAGCAAATCAGACCCTGTATTCACCTAGTGATCTTATTATACAGACAGCTTCGCATCACCACATTAATTAATGAAACGTATAGAGTTTTTAGGGTGCAATATACCAGATATAAATTTCATTTTGATGAGCTTGGTAAAATACATTCTAGTCAGCAAAATATCTGATCGGAATGAAAAAGTTTGCAACTGTCCGTAGTGCACTCATTCAAATATTTGAATTTGAATGGGATTTGATTGTTAACCCACGTAAATATCATCTTTCTACTCACGGTACAAATTTACTAATCCGGAAAGATAGAGCCTGAGCTTTGGCTGCTTTCTTCAACCAGTTATAACAACTTTTCAGGGAACTTTTCATAAAATACCTGTGGCACGCTTACCATTGTACTAAGGAGTAGATGACCGCAGAAAATTTATGTGCATAAAGTCAGCGAATCATTTATTAGAATGCGGTTAGAGATTACCAAGGATGAGAGCGAATATCGTTATTACAGTGAGGTGGTTCTATTGTGCTTACATCCCTTACTTAACTTACATTTTCTAACTAACGTAAGATAATGCCGTGGTGAGACTACGTTTAAAATTAGGTTTGGAAAGTATGATTACCTGACTAACACAAGTGGGTGATTTTTGACGAACCTGGCTTTCTATGTAACACGAGCATGCTCAAAGTAAGTCTCTTAAGATCGATTCCTCACTACAGTTTTTACATACACTGTTTAGCTTGAAAGAAGGGTTTCGACACTGATGCATATCTCTTTCTTCTTCTGGTATAAATTCAGCCTTCCATACTTCTGCAAATTTTTCCGACTGACAATTCTTGAAATACTTTGAAGCATTAGCTTCCATCTCACTAGCTTACCAAAGGAGGCTTAAACTAATGAGATATCTTCCATCACCGTTTGTAATTCAGCATTGGCAAACATGACAGCTATTCTTAAAAACAAAACAAAGGCCAACTTGAAGGTATGTAGTCGTATCGATGGTTTCTGAAGAATTATTACCGCAAGCATTTGACTAAAACTGTTGGGTCACATAAACCATTTACGCGTGTCAATCAACCGAACGATTGTAATCATAATGAACATCGTATAACTGAAAGTTATTACAGTCGAGTAGCGAGGCAAACACTGACAGAGCATTATAAAATACCCGGAACCGTAGTAAACAAGCAATGGCAAAAAATCGATTGTTTTTTTACTGGCAATAAATTTATATTGGACATAGCATCTTCGCGCGCCATTACTTTATTTATCTAGTATGGCACGGTTGTTATGACAACGAGTACGCGACTGTTTGAACCTATTTGTCGTTGTCGATTAAAAATTTCCAAAATTTACTCCCAAATCCTATGTGGGTTGAAAGAAACACCAAAACCAAAGTACTTTCAGCAGTATTGAGGATTTTAGCCTTAGTCTCTCGTAAATACACAGAATAACAATTTTTTAAAGAAGGACGTTACCCGAATTGATCATGGTGATTGTATGAATGAAAGTTTAACAAGAAGTAAGAAATCTGTTGGTTCAGGTGAGATTTATTCCAGTTTCTGTTGAATAAGGTTTCATTTGTTGAGCATATAGCTCAAGATTTTTTGTTCGATATTCCTATAGAAGTTCAAATAATTTTCTAAAATAATTACTTCAGAGTTCTGACGTTATGCAGAGGGATGAAGCTAGCGGTTCCTAAAACGTTAATCCTCCCGTAAACGCGAAAAAGAAGTATGGGTCCTCTAAATACCATTAAAAACTGTCTCAAACACTTTGGACAGCACTTTCCGCGCAAAGTATGGTCAAACAGAAAATTAGGGTTATAAATATATTCTTTTCAAACAATTCATTCTGCTTCTCTGGGTTATGCTATAACGGGCAAGTGTATCGGAGAACAGTAAGACTGAAAACTTCAACTCTAGGTTTGAGGAGAGGTCGTACTGCTGACTGTAGAAGGGTGCAATAACAGTAGGCTCTTTCCCTTGGACAACCGGCATCCGCAAGGTTGTTGCTATCTCACAAGGAAGGTTTGGATTAGAAAAGTTCGACACTCGCAATTTCACACCTCATCTGTTTGTCACCGCGCCGCTGATGCGAACGTTTCGAGTTCTCGAGACGTTATTCCTGGTCTTTAGAAACTACACTCTAAACTACATGTTGAAGCTTTTACTATACAGACATTTTGCCAGATGGGACAAAAAGCATCCTTATCAAGGATTTTAGAATCTCACACCACTGATGCATGCTACGCATATAGGATCCGGGTAGAATGACTAATTTGACTCCTCGTCCAGATAAAGAATCAACTCTGTTTACGCTCCGTACATCTGGAAGCCCTGATGCTGCTTCCCGAGGCCTCACTGGTTTAGGTATAGCATTGAGTCCTAGGGCAGACTGGATCGCGGTAGACATTCGCCTATCTGCTGTCCGACTAAACGGTACGGTACGGACTGGTAAAGATAGGGAAACTCGCCATCGCCTCTTTGTTGTCTCTATGGATGCTCCCACTGACCGCAGCTCCGACGAGATAAAAGATAAGTCTTACAAAGTGCTCTCGAACCTCCTCCAAAATGTCTGCCGCTCTGATGTGGTATTAGTGGCTGGTGATTCCAATGCCCAAGTAAGTAGACTAAGCGAAAGACAACTTGGTGAATCTTATGGTGTCACGGCTAATCGAACAGATAATGGAGAACGTCTACCACAACTATGCTTAGATAACCGCCTATTTCTAGCAAAAACTAACTTTAAAAATAAGGAAAAATATCTCTTGATATGGTTACCTCCGAAATCAAAACAACTAAACCATATTATCATTCACCGATGCTAAGGCTCCACTGCAGACTACCGCTCATTGTGGAGCACTAGTTTAGATTCAGATCATACTCTAATACGAGCATGCATTTGTCTGCGTCTTACTGGACGTTAGAAAAACAGCAAGGTAACCCTTCAGGTTCCACTTAACGATAGAAAAGCTAAGAATATATTTCAGGGATAACTAGTAAAACAATTAGTGAGCCCTGTAAGGGATAGCCGCTACGAAGCGGCTTGGATTGATTTCCGAAAGGCTGTGAAAACAGCAGTGATATCTGCTAGCAGCGTAAGCCATAAGGTTAGAGAGTAACAGAGGATTTCACTACCATCTGCCGGACTGATAGATGCCCAGAAACTAATCCTGTCTGGCTCTGAAGATGTTGAGGAGGAGAGTTAGCTTAAGCTCAGGCTAATAGGAAGTCTACAAAATGACCGTGAACAGTGGTGGGTAGCGAAAGCAAGAGACATGGAAAAGGCAGTGGCAACAGGCAACAGTAGGAGACTATTAATACTTATTAAGGAAACTGGAATTAGGAATCTAACTGCTGGTGAAACTATCTAGGAAATGGATGAAATTATTATTCATTACTAATCCAATAGATTGGATCGATGAGCAGAACACCTTAGGAAGCGGTTCAACTGGCCTTCAGCCACATTTTGGTTACTCACAATCTCCAGTCAACCTGAATGGCTACTTGACGTAAGTCCTGTGATCTTAAGGCAGTAGTTGGCTCTATTGATCGTGCGGCTATTTGGAAATTTTTGTCAATGAAAAGAGTAACAGCGAAGTGCATACAAGCCCCCTACTCAAACACAATGGCGGGGTCAGAGCTTACGGCTAAATTTCATCAGAGTTGATTACTTCGAACAGTGTCCATCAGAGTTGTCCACTTTCCCCTTTCTTACTTAATTTCATCAATGACATGTTTTTAGAGACAAAAATTTCACCATCTGACTTCAGTGATGGACCTTCTACTAGGCGGTTCACTTGTTGACTTTGAAGACGCAAGTGATACAGTTTTATTTGGTGAAGGCGCTGACATAATGCAGCCTTCTGACCGCCTTGAGCAACAATGCAAACATGTTTAGGATGCGATTCTTCCCCTTGAAATGCAAAATGTTGCTTCAGGATCGGCTTGCTTCGGCACCTCAACAGGTGACAGAGGGTGATTTGGTTGGACGAGTTGACTACTTGACTAGTCTCAGCAGTTGCATCAGTGCTGATTGCCTGATGTGTGACGAAGTTTCTGCACGGATACAGAAGGTTTGACTAGCTTTTGCCAACCTGCATCACTTATGGCGTAGACGAGATATCCTTCTGCTAACCGAGGGACGAGTTTACTGCGCAGCAATTCGCTCCGTTCTACTATATCGATGCGAAACATGACAAGTAACGAAGAAAGATATTTCCAAACTACTCCGCCTTCGACGCAAAAACACTCTTCGTTCATGCAAAAAGTTGCATTTGAAGATTTCGATAATATCTTTAAGCTATGCAATGTCTTCTAAATTCATTTCTTAATATAAAAGCCGTATCACATTTATGAAGTTCTCCAAATGCATTTGGTGATGTTTCATTTTACAAATACTCTACAGAAGCTTATTAAACAAGCTTTACTTTTATCGGTAGAATCAAAAGATTGTTTGTGAAGAAAGGGGTTATTATGTTGTAGGATATGTGGCAGAAGCTAATATTTGTCTACAATTACGTATGGCATCAACTGTACGACCTATTGAACTACTAAATTACTAAACATAAGAAAATTTATTTCATTTATTAAATATTCATGATAAATGCAACTTGTTTTATTTACTCGCTAGATAAGGCGGCGCACAACAGGAGACAAAGATATACGTCGGTTAGCCCAGAAAAGTCCTCTACTAATTTGCAAGTCCATAAACCTGACGAAGTTTGGGCACGGAATCACTCAAATCGGGTTTGCGGATCAAAAGAGGGTATAGGTGGTTTTAAATGAATTCTTAAGTTTTTGTACGATTTAAAGTGTTTCAACTAATCCAAAACTAATTGTGTAGTCGGAATTGATGAATTCGTTTTTATAATTTTATAGCTATGTACAAATTTAAGCACTAAGCTATGAGCTGCATTTCTTAGATGTAATTTACAAACATTATCTACATAATTTATATGAACATTTAAAGTACTTTTACTATGAAGTTTTCAAAAAGTACAGAGTAACTTTACATAAAAATTATATTGTATATAAATAAAATAAACTACATGCACCAAGTATTTACTATGAGGCCGTATATATGCTGGTAAAAGTTAATGAAAACTCAATATAAAGTGGTATCTTTGTGTTGACGAACTTTCGAGTATCATCTGGACGAATAAATACATGATTAGTGCCCGGTACTACATAACATTTGTTTCCATTTGTTGGTAAAAGCGAGAAAAATTCACAGGACTGTAACATTATTTTAACAACTAGAATCCGTATTTCCTATAGTAAAGTAAACGGTCGATAAATGCTAGAATAAATAATTTAATTAGACTAACGATTTTATGTATATCTCAGTTGAATAGAATCCAGATGACTGAACTACTAATCGAATAGTTAGATTTGTTTTTAATGGGCTGAAACTACTTTTTAGCTACAAAATATTATCAAGATATAAATAATCAGCCCAAAAACGAAAATGAAGCTCACAAAGTGACCAAGCATTTCCCAGTGCTCTTTGAAATATCAATATTCACGCCAGCAAATAAGTAGTAAATATGAGTTCGACAAATAAGGAACAAAATTTGGAGATTCAATATAAATAATATGACACGTGTTCGTTTTTAAAGATAATAAATTTGACTAAGTATGATAAATTGAATTGTTTGTTCAAAAATCTGGACACCATCTTACAGGAATCAGTTCACATAGCACAAACTATCGGACAAAATCAAGGAGAACGATTACATAGAGAGCGATATAATTAAAAAGGTTAACGGTCACTATAGCATAGGAACGCCTTAGAATAGGTATAAAGTTTTTTTCTCTGTTTCGATAAGCTGGCTACTCAGAAAATCTCATCACTAAGTGTTATGTCGGCATACCTAGTGGTTAATAAATAAACTACCTCAACTCATTGACAAATTACTTTTATACAAACAAAATTCATTAGTAAAGATAAACATAAAATAGGGGTTTAACCCAACAATTAGCAAGTAATACCTAGACTAGCAGATGGTCAGTCAGCAAAATATTTGGCACGTTTCCGTCTAAACTCTATGATTCATTGTGGGCCAGGGAAAATGTGCAGAAAAATTAGTGAGTCAATTTGAAAGTGAATAGTAGAGAAGATATTCACAGCCCGAATTAAATAGAAGCAATTTTTACGAATGGCTGATTTCTGCTAAACATTCATTGTACATTCTAATCGCCTGAAAATTTGAGGTATTTATCAACAGGGTTGTTCATAGCATCTATCAAAATCGGCTACATAAATTCATAAATGTCAGCAACTTCTATCAGATTGGATAAACAGCATTTGTTATAAAAAACAATTCGCAACTTGCTGGGTTGTAAGTGACTAGGAATCTTCGAATCTTTAGATAACCAATTCACGAATTTTGCAACTGCTCAGAAAAGAACATATATCATAATAGCTTACTCAATATTTGCTTTTTCGCTATAATGACAGAGATTCTTAGAAACAATTTAAGTGAACAGGTCTTTAATATTCATTATAACGGCTTTATAGTTCGACACATGTTTATACTGTCGAAAATATTAAATTTACTGCTGAAACTCATGCAGCTATTTTGATGTCAATTATTCCCAATCAGGAAAAACTGAACTTCATATAAATTTAGTTGATTGGCTATTCAGTAAAACTATTCTAGAACCATTGGTCTCTCTGTGAGCACTAAACCCTTAGATCATAGATCCAGCATCAAGCGGTTTGTATGTTTAACTTGAATTAATTTGAACTATCGTACAACTAACTTCCGACATACCTGGTGGGTAGCTGTTACAAACTGAACATAGTTGAACTCCACTGGTCATAGTGTTTTGCTGGGACCTCAGTATTACCTTTTGAAACTAGTCATTCATGGACGTATAATTTCTATTTTATAAAAACTTTCAATTTGACACTGTGTCGTTAATCCTAATTAAAATGTTAGTGATTAATATTTTAAGACTGTTTAACGAATAATTGTTATTTTATAGATGATCGTAAAAAGCGAATTAAGTCCAATTCATCTCAACGACCATCAACTCAGAAAATAAATAAATCAAAAAGATCAAAAGTTAGTGAGTGACTAGTTTGGTGATCTTAAAATTATCGATTTACTTTTGAGTTCTTTTGAAATTTTTGCTTACTGTTGAAATTTGAATGTCACTTTTGTTGATGATAACATTTAGTTTAATTTCACATCCATCATTCCAATGAAAATGATGCATTAGTAATCATATTTTACTAGTATTTGTATTTCACTACGATTATTTTTCTGATCACGAATACTTTACCTTGAAACCAATGGAAAACTATGATAGGAAAGTAGTCTTTATATATTTTTTCCAAATTAAGTTTAGGTTATCGTATTTTTTTCTGAGAAAATATTTTAAAACACTGACTGGGAGACTAGAAATTCTCTGACAGTTGAACACTGTTAATCTGCCTCCTGTATGCAGTAAATAGCATAAACCTAAGCTCAAGTAATCAATATGTTTTTGAATGCATATATATTGTTGTCTAGATGATATTTAATGATTTTGTTATTCAGTATCCTGAAAGATAAATGTAATCCAAAAAATAAAACAGTTTAGATATGTATCATGTAAAATGTTAGTGTGTAATTTTTTTTTGTTATTCGATGACGAGACTATGATAATTTGGTAATTATTTTATACTGATTTGTTTACGTAGTTTTATTTTTTGATACAAGGTAGTTAGTTTGTGAAGATTCCTTAATTTTGTAGTTCAAATTATGAACTGGCTGTATTCAGACAACCAGAGAAAGTATGAAAGCACTAGATAGATGTTTTTGTCTTAGTATGTAACTACTCGGAATTTCACATCTACAAACCCATGTGAAGGTTATATTCTCAGCAGTGTGCACCTAAACATTACGTGGCATCAAGTTCATAACTTCCAAGTCTTTACAAGGAAATACAATTGTTACACGGACCTAATCAGCATACAATCGTTTCTAACTTTAGCCGATTCATAATACGGTGAAAATGATCGGTTTACACCAATAACTAACTGCCCAACTCGTAATTTTGCTGACAGAACATATTGAAGAACCCCAACTGAATAGCTAATGGAACACAATCATTGATCAACTAAATGAAGATATACGGAGTATACTTTTGAATTATCAGTTACATATTGGCAAAAGATAAAAATTGAGGTCGTAAAACAAATAGTGAATGTTCTCTCCGATCATTTGTATCATTACTTTTATGAAACGGTCTAATCATTTTTAATATGAGCGATTGCAGATATTTAAAGTGTTGATTATTATTACTATTGACTAGTAAATAGATAGGCTATAAATGTTAACCACTTAAATAAGTAAATCGATTGACCAAAATACGTTTTAGTTAATTATGTTAGCATATACTAAAAGAAACAGTTGTTCACATTATATTTTGGAATGATTTGGTCAATTATTACACCTCATCGATACACATTTTATCAGCTGTCTTAAAAGATTTTCATAAAAGAGAAAAATAATCATTTCTATAAAAATCAGTAAGTACTGTATTTGAAATTACAAGTTTAGTAATTCAGTGACCTGAAGGAACATTTGCGCATCCAAGGTTTAAGCATGATAGCTTATCATAATTATTACATGTTGTATTTGATTCTCGTTAGAAAAAGTCAAAGTATTTTCATTCGTTTATTGGATCTTATCATTTCCTAAATTGTTGAATGGAATAACGGAGTTATATTCATTCAGTCATCATTTGTGGAATTTAACAGCGCTGCTAATGTAAAAATGTTTTCATTTATAATGCAGCTAACGAACAACCTGATTACTTACTAGGACTGATTTCAAAAAGCATGAATGACGACATTTTTTTGTAGAATATAATGATTTACATAGAAGTAAACTAATGTACTAAATAATTTCGAATAAATATTACCATACTTGAAATTAAGGTAGTGGATTATTCACAAAACAACAGTGAATTATGGTTTGAAAATGAAAGTAAAATGTAAGTTGAATTAAGAATATTTTCAGGAAGTTAATTCTTTCTAATTAACAATTCAAATATTAGAAATAATTTTATGATCCAATTAAAGGGGATTGGTTTGTGGTGTACGCGAAATATTGGAATTATGATTTTAAGACAGGAAGAAAGTTATTCAGATTACATATTTGTTAACAGTTCGGTTGAAAGTCGACTACCGACACTTTTTAAATATAGTGACTTAGTGCTAGACCATGACCACTAGAAATCGCAAAGTGTACAAGTTGACTAAACATACTTAATGCATTACCTCGTTTACAAAATTCAATAGATATGGTATGCAATCAAATATTGATCACTTTTTTTGACGACAAAACTGCGTAAACATTTTAGATTATCTCCAATAGAATATGTAGATTTCTGTTGGACAGGTTATTTATTCATTTATTGAATGCAAAATATGTCAATACTTTCTTTGTTCCGATTTGCAATTAACTTGCAGGGGAATTCGAAAAAAAATTCAACGAAACATAATAAATTCATTATATTCTATAAACATTGTCATTGGTGTTCTGTAAAAATTCATTACATTCATTCAAAGTTTCCAATTTTTTAGATTAGTTGTCAAACTTCAAATCGTATGACAATAAATTTTTAAGATTTTAATAATACCCACAAAAATGGAATGTCAGTCAGTCAGTTACAATGTAGAACTTCGTAGATACGTACGTACGTACATCAGTTCAAGTTGCCATACCACATTAACACAGGGACGCGATTGTCAGTTCAAATCCCATAGTGGTAGATATAGTAGAAATATTAGTGGTTGTAGAGATGATTACTGTTCGAAGAAATTATTCAAGAATTGTGATTCAGTGAAATAAATCCAGAAAGAGAAAGATAGGTGTGATGAGGAATTCTGAAGATTAGAATTTGAGAGAAGCCAAAGAATGGATGCACGTGCGCCATTACAAACAGTTTTGAGCCATGTCATTCAATGTCTCTAACCGTCGATTACTATCATCTAGCGGACCCCAACCAGAAGGTCTGCACTTACCAACATGACTCAATCCAGTTGTCAGTGGTGTCTTAAATCACACAAACAACAGTTGTTTGATTCATCAAAAAATCTAGGTTCGCTAGGAAAAAGTATTTGACAAAATACAAAGTTAGGTGAAGTTACAACGTCATATTTGTGCAATACTTAAGTGATATAAGATATTGGTTTCAATGGTTATTGAAGTTCTCAAGTAATTTATGAAAATTTTATAACTAATACTTCTATTAAACTGCCTTAGTCAGCTTAATTTTATAGCTTTCTTACTCAACTACTTATCGTAATGGTAAGTTATGTTAAATACTCAGTAAGATCTAATATGAGGACCCTAATGTTTGAATGCATCTGTTGAGGATTGGATCAAATGGATTTTATGGCGATTGACATAAATTATAGTTGCTTCTCATTATTCCTTGACCTCAGTTAAGGTAACATTGAAATCCACAGAATACTAGACATGATTAGTTCTAGCACAGGATTACTCAGTAATGTACACTGACGATACCATCATGAATTGAGTTCGGAACCATTAGGTCTGATAACGATCGCGATGTTCTTAAGTCACTGAGTTGAAGTGAAAAATTCTTCCTTCCAAACTTCACCCGATTCATAATAAAGCGAGACAATCATTAAATTTTATTGGTGACCACTGTTTTACTCCCGAACTGTCTGAACTCCAAAGGTCGCTACTTAATACTACTTATCACTAATAAACATGCCATTATAAAGCTGATAAAGGGGTTTTATAGAGACTGTTTTAATGTATAAGTTTTGATCGTAGCAAACTGTTCTCGTTTCTTTACAAAAAAGAACTGACTAACGATTATAATTAATTCCTAAATGTCAAATTTGACAATATCAATGTTTCAAAACAATTAATTGTGTTGCCTAGTTAACTTTAAAAATAACTTTTAATTGATTGAAGAAATGATGATAAACTAATTGTTTCATTTTGAATATTTTTCACTGAATAAAAATTTTAAAAAGTTCATGTCTAGTTAGTTCATAACATTCATTGAAACTAGATTTCGTGTAAATCGTACAATCTTGCAATGTAAAATATGAAATTCTCTTGGGTTTTTGTTTTTAATTCTTATAGAGCATTCCATCAACTAGTACAAAAAGCGCTGAATTCTTAAGTAATGAAGAAGATAGAGAATTATTTGCCAAGCAAAGATCTATAGTAAGTAAAAACTTTCTAAATATGTATGCAACACTAAAAATCTACAACCGAAAATTTTTTTTTAATTTTTGATGACCTGACAATAAGTTATCGTTATCGAAACCATGAATCGATCAATGTTATACCACTATTAGAAACCTGGAAGCACTGGACGGCCGTTTCGTCCTGGTATGGGACTCCTCAGCAGTGCACATCCACGACTCATGCACCCCGCAGGATTCGAAACCAGGACCTTCGGTGCGCGAACGCCCTAACCGTTAGACCACTGAGCCGGTACCATACGGTGTTAATGTCTAACTTGATCAAATTCACGGAGTTGCGCAACCTCATACACAGTTTTCGGTAGTCACTGTCTACACCCGAACAGGTTGAACTTCACTGGTCACGTCTTCCCACTAGAACTTGGAGAAGATTCCTCCTGCGGGGTGCAGGAGTCGTGAATGTGCACTGCTGAGGAGTCCCATACCAGGACGAAACGGCCGTCCAGTGCTTCCAGGTTTTCAAATAGTGGTATAACATTGATCGATTCATGGTTTCAAAAATGTGTAACTTAACAATCTTCACAACCCCGTAATGCAAATAAGTTATCAGTTAAAGATAATTTTAGCACTATGTTGTAAACACTAACAACGTTTCTTCATATTTCAAAACTCGCCAGAAGTTATTTTTCATTCTTGATAAAACAAACATTCAGGTGTTCAGAAAACAATCATAATTTAAAAGTGATCTCGTAAGAATTCAATTATCATTCTTCATCTTATTGACATTATAGGAATAAATAAAACAGCAATGTTTTTCTACAAGGATCTCATACAGTTCCGCCCAATTTATAAATTTAAACGAAGTAAAAACAACGATTGTTATAGAGTAAATAGGAATTCATTTATTTCGCCAATTCTTTCCAGTTCCTTACGAACGTGAAACAATGGCAATAACGATTGAAAAACCAAGCAGTAAAGATGATTTATGTAGTGAAGATTATGATTGAAAATAGGTGTGGTACGTAGATATGAAATGATATAAATCAATAATTTTGGCAGAAGTAAGAGTCAAGCCAATCTGAAACAGTTGTTACAATCACATTTCGTGCCATATTGATGCATTCAACATGTATTGATCGATTCTGATGTGTTTTAGTGACGTGAATTACGTAACCACTTTTCTCATGATTATGATTATGTTTTCTTATTTCTTACAGTTAAAATATTTCATTAACTATAATACATTATTTTCCTTATCTCTAAAGATTCTGATTCTATGTTCTTCATAGCTTTCCCTCCTAGAATACTCATATATTTAACTCATTTATAAACAGACAATCGTTTAATGAAATTTCTAATTCAGACAATGTCTTTAAACATTTACTTCTAGATATCACGTTAATTTTAAATCACAACTTTTGCCACATAAATCATGTTTCTAAATCACTATTGCTATTGTTTTTAGTTAATAAGCAAATGAAAAGAATTCGAGCAACCTACAAATTCATATTCATTTTGCGAGCATCTTTATACTTAATGTTATCGAAGAATTAAATTGAAATAACTATTGAAATTTAACTTATTTTTAAGTATTGATAATGTGATTGTGTTGATATTTAGTTAAAAAATTAGGTTATTAAGCAGAAATGATAAAAAGCACATGAATTGTTGTGTTGTTCAGTTATTTCTGAGTTTTGGTCTGTTTGTTTTTTAAAAGTTGCAATCGATTTTTAAGATTGTTGACAGAATTTTGTCTATTGAGTGCTGATTAAATATTTCAACGGTTACAATGTCTGGTGTCCAATTTTTGTTGTTTTTCTTAATGATTATTACATGAATGAATGAAAACCAAAGATTAGTTAAAATATTATCAATACACAATAAGTGAGATAAATACAGGATTCAACCTCAAATTTATTATTCTTAGGATAGATTCAAGAAGTTTGGCAAAGAGATTTTCAAAGTACATACTGTTTTTTTATAATTTCATCGGTATACTATTTGATTTTGTATTTCTTTGTACACTAAACATAGAATGACATTTGAAGTGTGAACAACTATAGGAAAACGAGTCAGTAGTCATTCAGTGATTTAGGCGACTGATATTTAAGTTAGTAGTGTAGGCTGCAACACGTGATCAAGAGTAATGGGCTCGTACAAACATGATAATAGTAATTAATATACCAAGGCTAGACATATTGTTTTGAACGAATGACAACGTCTAACAAATAAGTTAATTAAATCAACAATACTTTCGTACGTGTAAAAGAATGTTTTATTAGATATTTGTACTAAAAAACACTGTATCATCTTCCTTTATTTTACATATAAATATTATAGATATATCAATTAAATGAAATTATGAAAAAATCAGAAATAGCCAATTATGAAGCATTCATGAACTTAAACCACACAAATCAATCATGCAAATAAGAAGGGACGAATATACGCAGTTACACAAACTTTACAATCTTGTTAACTATAATGAATTGATTGGCTTTAATGGTAATCTTAATTATGACTCTCTTCAAACGGAAGTGAAATTCAGTTACGTTGAAATAGTTTACTAAATGCTTTGCACATTTTATTGTAATGTTTTTAAAAATATTTCAGCGGTAAAATAAACACAAAATTCTTTTAAGAATTTCGAACAACTATTGAGTAGTTATCATCTAAATGATTGCAAGTTCGTTCTCAGTATCCTAAAATTAATTTTGAATATTGGCGGAATATCTAATTAAAACGTAGTGCACATGGCATAAAAATCAGCCAAAGTAATATGGAAAATATTTAGTATTAACCTGATAAAATATGATTGAACTAAAAGCAAAGATTATTAATCCAATTAACTGCTTCAGAAAAGAAAACGTGCGTAACCACAGCACTTGAGTAAGCTTAGATGCCTAAAGTAGATACGACTTAGAATCCATACTGTACGTGGAAAACAGGATTCTCCAAATGATTCAGTTAACGATTGTATATACATGCTGCCATCCTCTATAAAAAAACTTTTATAAAGCGCAATATTACACGATCGAATACCGATTAGTAGTACCTGATATTACGATGAGATTAGCCCGACCGGATCAGTCAGTCAGCAACAACCTAGAGCTTCGTGCGTATGTATATCAGTCTACGTTGACATACCACATTTGCACAAAGATCCAATTGTCAGTTCAAATCCCATAATAGTAGAGGTAATAGCAGTATAAGCGGCAATCAAGAAGATTAGTGATCGAAGATAGGATTCAATAAATATAATTTAGTAAAATAAACTTTAAGAGGAAAACAGGTCACGGGAATTCAGAAGATTAGAATTTGAAAGATGACAAAGAGTGGATGCATCTGAGCCACTGTACACGAATTTTGGTCGTCATTGAAAGTGTCTAACCATCGGTTACTACTGTCTCACGGACCCCAACCTGGTAGACTACACTGACTTAATGGATCAGTCCCTTGTCAGTGACTTCATGGATTTCTGCCATGTTTTGGTCTGGCCACCCCTAGTTTTCTTGCAGCCTATCCTACACCACAAAACAGCTCGTCGTGGCAGTTGGGCATTCGTAACCCACATCCTAGCCACCTCAATTGAAGTTTCAATACTTCATCTATTGATTCGCCATCCTTACCTAGTGCTCTTTTCCAAAGAACTGCATTGCTTACTCAGTTGTCTCAAAATATACGAGCAATGCTTCGGTAAGACCGATTATCGAATGCCGGTAACCTACGAATATCCTTGCCTCTCTGTGGCCATGTTTCATAGCCATAAATGACGGAGCGAACTACTGCACAATAAACTCGTCCTTCGGTTAGCAGAAGGATATCTCGTCTATGCCTTAAGTGATGCAGGTTGGCAAAAGCCAGTCAAACCTTCTGTATATCTGCCAAAACTTCGTCACACATCAGGCAGTCAGCACCGATGCGACTGCCGAGATTAGTCAAGTAGTCAACTCGTCCAACCAGTTCACTCTTTATCACCTGTTGAGGTAACGAAGCAAGGTCAAGGTCTGAAACAAGCCTGTTCCTCACGAGCCCTAGTTAGGCGTCGAAGTGTTAATGAAACTAATATCTTAGACATTAATAGTTAAACTAATTCTTCTCTGATTGTCACAAGACGACTTTTGTCCTTTCTTACGGATCAGGACAATCAGTGATTGAGACAGTCAGATGAGATTACGTCCAGTTCTCATAATCTAGCTAAGATCCGTCAGTTTAACTGTTAAAATTAGGCCATCATCCATGAAAATATCGGATCCGTATTTAAACGTGCGCTAAAGAATAAGCTGCAGTCTTCTATCGAGGCTCTCCATCGGTGGCTGATAGCAATGTAGTCAAGTTGGCCTCAACGTCGAGTCGATTTTATGATTCACCATGTCAAAAGATATTTTTCCTTATGCTTGAAGATTGATATCTGCCAGAAATAGGTGGTTAACGAAGCATAGTTGCCTCACACGCTCTTCGCTATCTGTTCGATCTGTTGCGGCATTATAACATCCACCCAGGTGTCTTTCGGTCCCTCCTACCTACTTGAGCATTGAAATCACCTGCCATGATTAATACATCAGAACGTTTTAGAGGAGGTTGAAAAGATTTCTGTAAAACTCACTTTTTGACTCATCTAGGCTGCAGTCAATGGGAGCGTAGGCTGTAATAACGAGGAGGCGATAGCGAGTGTTCCTATCTTTCTAAGGTCTTACTGTCCCGTTTAGTCAGACAGAGCACAAGAGACTGTCTACTGAGATTCAGTCTGAGCGGTAGTTCCGTTTTTCAGCTCATTACTATATCTACACCACTGGGCCTACATGAAGCGGTGGTAGGGTCTCCTGACGTATGAAGGGTAAATCAAGAAGGCTTTGTTTTGACAAGGTGAAGTTAAACGAATGGTCGCACTCGGATCTTGTGTAGGCGTTTTGGAGACGTTGCATGCATTAGTGGTGCGAGATTCTAAGTCGGTACCGTACTAAGGAAGCTTGTTGTCCTATTGGGCACAATGTCCGAACATTAGGAGCCCCAACGTGTAGCCTAGAGCGGGGTTCACCCTCAGAACTTGAGTTGCTGCTTTTAGCCTTACATTCTCCAATCGACCTGCCTGGAACGGTAGGACCTAAAGGAACATACGTTCCATCTAATGTAGCTCGGTTGGGTCATGACGGTAAGCAAGCCCGTCTATCACGTCAAAGCGAAAGCTACCCTCTGGCCAACTGTGATTGTTACGAACCTTCAGACTCTCACAAATTACTATGTTCAGAAAACAGAAAATTATGTTGCACTTATTGATCCCTACATACTAAACCCAGTTGGTTTAGCTAGCGATTACTAGCAGCCATCACACTACACAGCGACTTTCGAACATTTATGTTCTGGGTTCGAGTCCAGGAGTTAGTATCAAGCACGACATACAGACGCGTCCAGCTGACGAGTTCCAAATCGACTGAAACATGCGTCCTAGATCCCACTGATAGTCACTATCAACCCCTGCTAATAATCACTTTAGAAGTTCATCAAGACTTCCCTATATCAACGGTTATTTGTGATTACTTCAAACGTATTCATTTTATTTACAATAAAGCTTCTTTCTTCGTAATGCTTTCACAGCTAGAATGAGACTTCACGTGTCAGTGAGTATAAATGGACTTTTCAGATGTCCACTAACTTTTAATGACGTTTGGTGACAGGTTACTGATTTTTACAGTAAAACTGAAATCACCAAACATGAAACACCCTTACTTAGTGTCCCACTTTTTGTAAACAATCCAAACAATTTGTACTGAAAGATGAGTAAAATGAAGACTTGTGAATGCTGACGTAGCAGCAACAGGAGATACATTTCTATTTACAAATAACGTTTATCATTTTCAGAAACAAGTGGTTGTGGGTTTGATTTCATCCATCACAAATCTAATGCAACAGGACCTTGTGATTTTGAAACTAACTTCTGAAGTAGTACTCATTTTTAATATTCCTCTATATTTTTAAATTTCCAGTCGGGCTGTAACTAATTCGTCTTGGACTGCTTTGGTCATCATTATTAATCGTCTTATATCATCTTAGTTGTTAAAATATAAGAACTTAGACTAATGTAGTAGTAGAGCTTAATTGAAAAAGCGTTTTTAGAGGCCCTTATTAGTGTAAACTCCATTCAACCTGCTTCATGTAAAATATTATACACCAAGAAACTTAAAAAACGCGATTGCCATTCGACTTTAACATGAACGACTGAATACGAATTGTATACTGCTAAGCGGACGAAACAACCCATATTTGAATTCTACGTTACTTCTGAACACTGAGTGAGTTTCATGTCTTAAATCGAAATCTTAATTCGATTACTCAAAAAAACGAGTACCATTGCTTGATGGCTAGAAACTACTTTCTATCCATAAAAATACAAGTGGGTATTTACAACTGTAATTTCGTTTCATGCAAAGATATTCTACACACTCTGGAAAACACTGAAGCATTTAAAGTAGTAAAAGAGAAAATATAAAAGCGATTACGTCAGGAAGTTTTAATTTGAAAATTGCGAATGATTTAAATACCAATCAAATATTATACGTAACGGACAGCTAAATTTAATGAAAAAAATATTTCTGGAGTATGCAACTGAATAATATGGCTACATAAAGCACATTCTATTAGTAAAGAAAGAAAATGAGATAAAAACGAATAAGGTAGTTAAAAAAATGAATGATTGGTACATAGTATGTAATATGGTTTATTTCAAGAACGAGACAAAAAGTTCTAGCCAGATAGACGAAAAACAACATATCGAGGTAGACTATAAGATTAATTACAAGAGCTGATAACCTTTTATCAAAAAGGGTCTTTCAAAATGTTAATGATTGCACATATACAACTTAATGCGTGAGTGAACCAAATATTAGAGATAAAACTTTTATGAGTAGAAAATCAAAAAAGTGGCCTGAGTTGTGAGATGAGCTTTTTTGAAATGAGGTTATATTATGGAAATTTGAGTATCACATATTACTCTAATTACATCGGAGTGGTCAAAATAATTATATCTCTGGAAACGTTGGAGAAGAGATGGCATGAGGTAGAAATTTCTTTCGCACCACGGTAATTTGATTTGTAAAATTATTTCACTAAAAGAGAACAAATGATAGTGTAACATTTCTTTACAAGCATAGACAGACTTTATACTCAAAATTAAACAAAAGTAAACTAAAGGAAGAAATTTTAAAAAAAGCAGAGAAATAAATCAAGAGTATACTTTATATATTGAACAAGCCTAATAAGCGCAAAGAAATACATCATGCTTTTGTGAAAACCTTATAACAAATAAGTAAGAATTGATGAATTTACAAGCAAATAGTTTGGGAGCATTTTACACCACAATGTAAGCTAAAAGTAACTTAGTAGTAGCCACTAAATGAGTACATTTTCGCATACAGCGTATAGCTCATGCTTCCTAATGAAAGAAATCCCGCTAAGGTGTATATCACACTTATTCCACCGTTTACTCAGCTATTCGTCCACTTTCCACCATCTTTCTTCATCAAGCTTTTGATGATGATCAGGAAGTTTGTTAAGCTTACTCATGTGGTGGATACTGCTTACAGGATGGGATATAACTAGTAAGCAGTCGGGTGTCGCTCAAAGACTGCTAACAGAAAATGTATGAATATCGAAATGCACGGTGCGATCAGACGGTATTGAAGACCAGAAGGGATGTGAAGAAAGATAATCAAGAACCCACTTGCGTCACATATCAATGTCAAAAGATTGTGTACAAATTTTGTTAAATAAACTGCCTTCTTCAAATATACACATTCCATCTGGTTTTGATTTTTTTTTGTACGTTAACAACAGCATAACGCTTGAATGGAATGGAGCTAAGAACCAAATTATAACAGAAATCGGTGGTAAGGGACGCTAATTGAAAGGATAAGACATCGACCCAGTAGTATACATTTTCTACAAGCTAGTCTCATCTAGGAATTTAACGCTGGCTTTAAATCTTATTACTCGATTTTGTTATAGTATTAATTAAAGTCTAATATGATATTATTGTCCTAGTCACTTTATTGATACACAACAATCAGTAAGTCGCTCACATTTAGTACATGAATGAAATATTGTGGTAACTGTTGTTTATGCACATATTATTTATGAATTAGATAATTAAGTTATATCGCTTGTTAACGAATGAGTGTAATAGCACGATGGGCCCGTCATTATAACTGCCCATTGCTCAAATTTTTTAATAACCTAGATGAAAATATCAATAATTGGAAAAATAGTCATCTATTTTAGTTGATCTTTAATGCTACTGATGAAACTAGATAAATCACTTTGAAGATAGTTGTTTTCGAACCGAACGGCGAAATACAAATGCTAGATCATGAAATTTGCTATGGAAAATAATTCTTACTGTTTAAGGATGACTTGTGAGTGTAAAACCAGAAACAGCAGTTGAAATTCGTGGGGGAGGAGGAGGAGGGGCACAATTTTGATGATTTGACATATGAGACAACCTATGCGAATTAAAAAGTCGCGTTTCCTGCATGTTGGCATTCAATGGAGTACAACTACTGCTACTACTACTTTTTGAACTAAGCATAGAATCTCGTTGAGCTGAATCCTGTGTTTGATGTTGTTTGTTATCAGAATTAATAGTGGGAATATTCTGTCTTGAGTTTCCAAAAGACGTTGAACTAGATCCTGTAGATGATGCTGCAAGCTCATTATCATTACCATTAGGATAAAAATTATGTCTTAATCTAGAATGATGTCCTGCAACACCACCAGTAGCAGAGAGAGTTTGTGCCAAATTAGAATTTGACTGGGAATGTTGCTGTTTTAGTGACCGTACATTTGGTAAAACCGAATCTTGTTGTCTAGACTGGTTGAATCCTTGAACCCCAATATGGTTTGATGCGGATACGTCTTTAGTGTGCGTTTTTATATGTCCGGGAATTTCATGAGCGAAATGACCAGATTCACTACTTGTGCTAGATGATGAACTGGAATAGCCTGAAAATTGAAGTTCAGGAAACAGAAAGACATTAAGAAAACTAGGCAACATTCAAACTAGTGGTCGGAGTCAAAAATCCTCAAAAATGTTGGTAGACGGTAATTTAAAAAGTATATATGCAAAGCATGAAACTTAATGAGTGTAGACAGATAAAATCATGAGAAGGTGGAAAAGTAGAAAATCAATCAAATTCTAACAGATGATTATGAGGATAATATTCAACAGTGATTAAACGAGCCAGTAACTTTTAAATAAGGACGCCTTTAAGTCAAGTATTTCATACGATCTACGTTAAATTGACATAGATCAAGAAAGGTTGGTGAAGAAAACTTAAACTCACCAGTTGCGCACTAAACAGTTGAAAGGAATATGGTTAACAATGAGGACGAGTAAAAGATATTTACAATTTAGATACTACTAAACAAGGAAATACTAAGTATCTTATATTAGAAATGAAACACGATGGAAATAATTGAAAATGATGTGAGACATCACTCGATAGCATTTCATTTTATTTATAATGATACTTTGTTAAAGACTGTTTGTTGATCAAACAAAATTTTCTAGACAATTAATTGATCCTGAGGAATAAAAAACAATAACCAGCATGAGGCACCTGTTGTTATCTGCAAGAACAATGTTTTTATTACGAAACTTAAAATAAAAACAGTATATGTTAGTGTGTAAAATGTAACAAATTAATGTTCAATGACGTAAAGTTATCAATAATTACCAACTATGGAACAGTATGAACCATATAACTAATGAGTCTAATTACTTATATTTCATAGTTTTCGATAACTTGGTTAGGGTTAGGGAGATAAATAATAAAGATATTATCATATTCCACAATGTTGTTAACACAATTACTATTAATGGTTAAGAATATTTATCCATATAGTAGTGGATAATTTTTTCTCATCTTCATATTAGTATATACAAAACTTAGTAAATAACTGTCACTAACCTGAAACATTATCTCTATTTCCATCATTTAAGCGAGACCCACTTTGTGGCTGCTGAAGATTTGCATTAGCAGCTATATTTTGACCGTCTGCAATCAACTGACGAATAGGAGCAGCAAGGGGTGGAGCAGGTGGATGATAAATCGGTGAAACGGTACTATATTGACTGTTATTACCTTCTCTACTTGCCGTTCCAACTACATGAGTTCCAACAAAACCCGGATTGTAATCTGGGATGCTACCACTAGCACCAGCTTTCACAGTCAAACTAGTACTTGTGGTATTATGACCCCAATTAGGATGTGAATGTGCACCAACTTCACTAACACTATCAACTTCTTCTAAACTTAGGCAAGACATATCTGAAATATATGAAGATAAAGAATTATAAGCTGATAAAATTCACGAATTTCAGGAATCAGTCTAATGGGTTCAGGACCCTAATACTTTAATTTTAAGATTTTTCAATTAGAGTTATGGAGATTAGTGTTTGTTGTACATTGAAATCATCAATCAATCATTGTTAGACCACCATTAGAAACCTGGAAGCATTGGACGGCCATTTCGTCGTGGTATGGGACTCACCATCAGTGCGCACCCACGACTCCTGCACCTCGCAGGATTCGAACCCAGGACCTTCGGTCTTGCCCACGAAGGCTACGACATATTCCTTTAAACATAGTGTAATGAGAGGTAGAATGTGTTGTAAAATTAATCTAAATCGTATGCTAATTTGAGTCAGACTACAAAAGTCATAAACAAAGAAAAGATACACAACTATTCAAGACTATATATTAAAATTAAATCTCTCAGAAGAACGAATGAAAATACACATACGATGAGTTCACGCATATTACTTGCGTAAAATTTTAAAAAGAATGTTAAGTTCACAAAGACAGAGGCGAAGCAAAAGAAAAGATAAACACTTACGTTCACTTATATCCCGGAAGACATAGTAACATTGTTCCGAAAAAGTTAATTTATTTACAATATGCCGAATGTAACCCAATTTGAGTAGATTAGATGCATACTTCCGGGCTTCTCTACGATCAGTCAAACCTTCCAAGTGACGGAAGAGCCAATCGACTAGGTCAGAACCTTGAAGGTGAAGAAAAAGTTGTGCGACGTGAAACTCACAAAAAGACTACCTGAAATCTACCAGTGAATGAAAATGTTAACGTAAGTACAGAAGTTCTTCTAAATGATATGTTTGTAGAAATGAACTAGATTAAACAAGATAGAAAACAAATAAGTTTGAAAACTACCATAATATGGAAGGGACACAGGTATGAGGTCAAAAAGGATAACGAGTAACAAACGACAGTACTAGTACATAACGATAAGTGCAACAATTAAGGTAAGTCTATATACAGAATGATGCATTTTGGATAATTAACAGCTCCGATTATAAAACCTTACGAATAATTTATTTTCGGATGCAGTTCCACATGTTCATTTTATTTATTCAAAATTATGAATAAGTTAGTGATCCAAATGAGAAAAATAAGTTATGTAAGAGATAATGCATATAACCCATAAAGTGAGTTGCGAAAAATTCATAATCTCAGGTTATTCGCTTAAACAATACATTTTATTGGGAATTTTATTAAAAAGAAAATATGACAAAAATATTAGACAATAAAACAAGTGCGTAACTTTCATTAAGAGCCCGCAAAATCTTATTTCAAGGAAAAAGGGAAGAAGTAATCTTAAAAATTTAGTGTAGAAACATAGTTCTGGGTAGAAACTCAGGTTATTTTAACTCAATACAAATCTGCATACGCGCCTTTGAAGTATTTGATATGTAAAAGAATTAGAAAGATGTGTAGATTTTTAATCACTAGTAGATTTAAGGGGCATCAATCTACTGAAAAATTTGAGTAAGTGGACCCACTATTGAGCCCCGGAAAATATTCTGGAAACTCTGGAAAGTCATACATTCCAACACAAGCAAAAAGAAGGTATCTACCTTAAGAAAAACAGATGTTTCCTATCAGATTCATTAAAGTGTTATCTCCCACTTCAACCATATCAACTTGAATCAAAATGTTTGCTGCGAATGAACATCACTCTAATACGACTGTTGTCTCAATTTTTAGATTAAACTATCTATTCGTGTTATAAAATAAATAATAGCGAAGAATGCTGCGATTCCAGTAATACCCCAACTGTATAGAGAACTAGCAATTTTAAACTCTGCGCTGGACATTTAGACAAACCGGGTGCAGAGCAGACTTTAAAAAAGGCAATTCTATGAAAGAACTGGCTGACGAAGAAACAGCAAAAAGCTTACAACTAACCTATAAATGCGTTTGGTACAGTTAACTTGAGCCACACGCGATCCCTAATGTCGAGGCCAGAATCAGGTTGAAGCATTGCATGAATAACTGTGGGAATACTTGTCGATAGACTTAATGGAATGGGGTCAGAGTACCGTTCAATCTCCGGCAGCGAGCTGGATGCAGTGACAATGCTAGGAGCAATCTAAAAGAATTAGATCATAAACAGATGAAACATCAATGATATAAAGATTATGATTCAGTATGTATAAGTACGCATTGTCACGACCTCGTTACAATCTGACGTTGAAAAGACTAAGGGTTCATTCAAAATAGCACTAATTCACCAACTAGTTGACCATTAAAGGGTGTTTAACTTGAGCTAAATTAGGAACACTGGCAGTTCGTTGTACAAACAGCAGTGACACCTATTAACGACCTGATTAGAAAACCAATAGATCTTTGAAGCGTCTAGTAAAGTTGTAAACGCACAGAAACTCACTCTGTATGTTCGAAGGACAATAGAATAAGTACAATTTAAAAAGACAGACGAAGAGTTTGCATAATGACTATGAACAATGCTGAAAAATGAAAGCGAAAAAGAAATTGGGAAGGCAACGGAGATAGGCAACACTAGACAACTGTTCCGACTCACCAAGGAGACTGGTATGAAAATTCAGCTGCTAGTGAGACAATTTCGAAAAAACGAAACGTTTATCTGCTTTCTGCTCATGATGTTAGGACGATGGGCCGAACACTTTAGAGAACGATTCGAATGGACTTAAAATACTCTTCAACTAATCCAAGTGAGATTAATATATGCATATCAGCGTTAGTATCTTTTTGGTGCTAACAAGGATCAAATATGAATCCAACTCACTAATCCAGCAATTTTGTGAAGTACGCTTTTAATCGTACCTATAATATGACAGCTAGAAATGTGAACTAAAATAAAGTTTGAACCCTTAACTTAGTAAGTAAAAAGTCGAGTATCTGAACTACCAAAGACAGTACTTTATGCCTTCATAACTTAGAAAATGTTTAATGAAATCATACGATTGTGTTAAACTGAAACCTCATTTAAAAACTATTGAGAAAAATAATCTTTAAATCAAGGGATTCGGACTATTATGCTAATTAGGTATTTATTAACCATCAACTCAGGAGACGCAAGTTTCTTATACTATACAGTGACTACGCTGTTCTGCAAAAATGAGATTCGGCAATGGGAAGAAAATGGTACTCAGTTGTTATCAATACTTTTACCTGTTGAGTATAACCATGAGGAATCAACAAATTTGATGAAGGGTAAAATGCGGGTTGAGGCAAATGAATCCTTTGTTGGAGTAAACGTTGTTGCTGTTGTTGATGTTCTTGTTCCTGTTGTTGTTTATGTTTAGAGGCTGCAAGTAAAGCAGCCATATTGAACGCTGCTGCACTTGTACCTAGAGGCATCGAAGTTTGCCCTGATGTCAAAGTGCCCATACTCATACCAGGGGTAAGGCCAGGGGGGCTAAGAGTGGAACTGGACTCACCACCTGACGAGGCACCAGTCATGGAAGCCCCACTAACTTGTCTGTGTGAATCACCACCTTGAATCTGTGAGTCTGGTGTGATCATTGCATTGGTATGTAACACCCAGGCACGCGGATCAATGGGATGTACAGGTTCTTGGCGAGGTATTGTAAAATAACGTTCGGCTGGATTAGGGTCCCAACATTTGGCAACAACTAACGTAATAGGACTACAGAAAACAGTATAGAATATTACAAAGGGTCAGAATAACATTACTGCCGAATAATAGACAAAAATTCAATTCAAATCAAAGTAGCTTTTCAAACGTCAATTTATAAAACTTGTGGTAAACTAGAAATGCGATTACATTTGGTTAGACTGAAGTTTAAAAGTTCATGATATAACGACTTAAACATAGTGATGGTAAACCAACGGCTTACGATTGAAGATACTTAAGTTGAAATTGAAAATCTCATTTTTTTTTATTTTTTCCTCACATCTGCCAAGAGGATAATTATCTCTTATACTCCTGATCCGTAAACTATTTTTATCTTACTATACTTCAAACCACTAATCAATCTTTTTATGATACTTGAAATTTTCGAACACTTTATGCCACAATCTCTTTCTGATTTTCACTAGACTACAATATCTCGCAAGCACCTATAAGTACAATTGCCTAACTTCAGCAGGTAAAAAGATATTTTCGCTGAATTATCTTTCCTTGTTCCTCATAGTGACACAAGGATTCTATTTTTTTTTTGGAATGTATGACTAATGGTATTGGGAAGAGCAGGTAGTGTATATAACAGTACCACAATTCTAAGGAAAGTAGTACATACACTTACCAGGAATTATGAATCGTGGAAAAACAAGATCTCAAAAAGTATCACATGTCAAGGAGAGAACAAATTATATAGAATTTTTTAAGACACAACAGTTCCATGTAAAGGGAATACATGAAGTTTGATGTAAATATATTACAAGAGTTTTAGAGGTTATAAGACATGTTTCTGAAGTGAAAGCTGAGGATAATCACATAATTAGCGTTTTATAAAACATACCCTTACTAGTAACTTAGGTGAATAGTTATTTTAAGAATAAAAGTTCGTTTACGTGAGTTATTGATGATGGTTACCTTAAAACATATCCTTATCATGATGGATAGAATCCTAAGTGGAGTACTCTATACTCTCATATTTTAACTCTTCACGAAATTTGAAATGATGAGAAGCAGAATGATTTTGTGAATTATATCCAAAAGAAACAAGTAGTAAAGTCTTAAACAAAATAACCGATATATGCTCTAGGAACGAATAACTAGGTACTTTACATAAGTAGGAGACAATTTTCGTTGCTGTTCATCAATTTTAGTTGGAAACATTAAATATCATTGCTGAAAAATGAGTAAGAGTATAAATTTACCCAGGACGCTGAACTTGCTCTCGTAGTGTGCGAACTGCATCGTCGTTACTCATTTCTTCAAAACTAATCCCATTTGCTTCGAGAATCATGTCCCCGGGTTCAATTCGTCCATCTTGAGCGACAGCGCCGCCTTTCATGATAGAGCCAACATAAATCCCACCATCTCCAGACTTATTTGACTGACCGACTATACTGATGCCCAGAAAATTAACGGTATCCATGTTCAACGTAACTGCCACAATATTTAGAGACATGGTGGAGTCTGTAATACTGCTAAATGAAGATGCCTGTAGAAAATTTAAGGGAACAAAAGTTCAAACCTTTTGTATAGCTCGAAGATATTTCCAAGATTACATAGAAGGCGACTCAGAAATGCTGTTATTCTTTGTCACAATCATAAGCTTAAATAACGAATTTAGAATAATTTATAAATAGTATAGTTCGAATGTGGAGGTGTAGTTGCATATCTCGCGTACTAACAACTATGATGATGGTAATATTTCCAATAATCACGAAATGATACAGTTATCAATGAAGACTAAACAATAAAAAATTGTTTACTAATATTGGTGGTAATTTTCGATTAACTTCATTTCAAATACAATCAGTAATGTGTTAAGGTATTCAACTTCCTGCCATTTGTGTTTAGGTTTCAATCGCACTTCACTCTGATTCAAACAGCTGAGAATTGAGACAAGTTCAAATAACAAATGTGACTCAGAACATAATCCAAAAAACCTGGATCTAGTAGTCCCATTATTAGTTAATGATAATATGTAGAAAAGTTCCGACTTTAAAATGACTGTAAAGAAATGAATATAAAATTACATGTACGAAATAAACAATAAAATTTATCGCAGAGAATTTTACCCGGCTGATCGGTGGTGGACGCCTACGTCTTCGTCTCCGACGTGCACGGCTAAACCGACGGGAAGACAATGTTGTTCCGGTAATGGAGGAAAACCTTGAATACATAACCAAAGAGTTATTTGTTAACCATGAAGAGAAAATAATAAAATTCTTTGTGAAAAAAATTATGAATTTACTTTACAACGCATGAAAAACCTAATCTACATCCACTATCAATCTTTGAAATCCAAATAGTAACAAACAGACAAACATTCATTCTCACATCGGGTCACTTGCTTATTCCTTGATTCATATTCTGGGTACTCCTTACGTTTCAATTGATATAGCGGCTCGCCGTTGGTGCAAAACTTCTCCAAAATAAACGACTGATCGAGATATGAATGATACCACCGAATAAGATTTCTGAACCAGCTTTTCTCAAACCGCGGATGCCACTCATACTGGCTTCTTCCAACGTTCGTAGACTAGTGAAGACTATGTCTCTAGAAAGTCTGAACAGTGATATCTGTTGTTTATACCAGACCCGTATTCCCAACTCTAATAACTTACTAAGCATTCGCTCACCTCTCGCTTCAAAACGCTTGGTTTGCATCAGTTTATGCGTGGACACTATGGTAGCTTCGTCTAGACATACTGATAATCCCATGAGATTTGAACTAATACTTCCACCTCTCCGTGCTAATGTGGTATAACAACTTAATATGGTGTACGTACGTAACATGTTCTACGTTGCAGCTGAATGACTGACTGATTGACTGGTCTATGTGGCATTAGTGCTGAAATGAGCTACTAATGATTGTGTTCAAATTATTGGCTTACGTTGTACTTCATAGATTATTTGGAACCAGTGAGAATGAGTCACAAGAAGCAGGCTGGGTTTTGTTCCAATCCAGGATGTATAGACCATATCTTCGCCCTCCGCCAAACGTTAGAACACCGTTACACTTGTTGTAGGCCAACAATTGTTGTTTCTTGTCATCAGGGCAGCCTTCCCTGGAATTGTCTATTGAAGAAGGGCGTGCCTGAAAAGTCAATTGACACTCGGAAGGCCCTAAATGCAAACACCTCAGTCAGAGTGATGTTATACGATTCCCTCTTCCCATTGTTTCATTCAAACAGTGGGACTAGGCAGAGTTGCCTAATATCACTATTCCTTTTCAATTTCACCAGTGATGGCGTTCTACAAACAGCTCTGATGAATATAGGTGATGGTGGTATGGATCTCTTACTTGAAGACTTTCCGACCACGACTATGCCGACGATATTGTCTCATTGTGCGGAGATTACCAAGCCGTGCAATACGTGCTTAATCAGTTGAAAATAAGTGTCCATAAGTATCGCATCCTCAGAATGCACCTTCTAAGTAAGAAGTACTTTTACAAGACTGGCAGGAACCTAAACCTACACTCACTCTTGATAGTGAGCAGATAGAAGTAATCGAAAAGTTCATGTACCTGGGTAGCTGACTAAGTACTGACGGTGGCGTGAGTGATGAGATCAATTTACGTGTAGCGAAAACCAGAGAGGCTTATGCTAACTTGGGTGAGCCACCTTTGGCGCCTTCGTGATGTTAGTCTGACTGTAAAAGGTTGGATCTACGACGCGTCGGTGAGCAGTTCTGTTTGTGAAACCTGGCCTCTCTGAGTTGAGGATGTTCTATGTCCGATCTTCGTTGTCACCAAAGGGTTGCTGACATTCAGTAGCAACATCACGTTAGTGATGCAGAGGTTTACCGTGTATCCGGTAGAGCAACGATGATTCAATTGATGTCGCCGTGTATTATGAATGTCGTCCCAGCGGATTTCACATCGCGCATTACTGTCCAAGGCTGGGGTTGGTTGTAAAAAGTGGGGAGGTGGTTAGTGTATGACACGATGTCGCGGTATGAAAGAAAATTGTACATGACTGGTATCCGTTGGTCCTTCTTCACGTTCCTCCTGATTGGAGTCTTAGAGATGAGGTAACTCAGTGGCTTGAGACGTTATCAGACATGGCTCACAATGGAAACCAATAGTGGTCCTAATGTAACTTTATTTCATTTTCACATCTTTAACTGAAAGAATTCTTTCTAACTTTATTTTCCTTAGTTAAACTGTTTCTCCCACTATTATTACTATTATTTTAATCTCATACACTTATTCTCACTGTTCTACCTCTATCTCTTCACAACCTTATTTGGATGGTGTGGCGCCAGATTGTGCCAATATTCGTGTTTGAAATAAATAAATAAAACATAATTTAAACTTTACTATCAAGAATAACGAAGGGACGTTAACAGTCTTCGGAAGAAGATATCTGGAACCGGATAATACATGCGTACGCGCAAAGCAACTAACCTGCTAGATTCTTCTTCAGAGTCTAAGAAGCTAGTTGATTCTAAATCAGAACTCATCATCGAAGGAGTTTCATAGGTACTTGGACCAGGTAAATGACGATAATGGCGATGGCGTGAACCATTATGGTTTGTCTGTTGAGTAATATGACTACCACCACCCGTTGTATAATGATGTCGTCCACCTAGAATTAATGATAAACGTAAAATCAGCAAGAAGTTACGAGAATGAAAGTGAAGTTATATTTTTCGCGAAATCGCTGAAAGAATAAAACAATTATATTAAAATGGGGCATAAATGCTAATAAGTTAACTTTCCAAATAAAATTAGGTAAATCTAGAATGGGGAGTTCATGCAGGTGAAACCAAGAATGGAGAATTGAGCAGAACAACATGAATTCATTTTATTTCGTAGGGTTTACGACCTCTAATAATTTAAAAACAAAAATTATTGTTCAGTTTACATACTTATAATAATAATAAGTGGTTATGCATCATCATGGTGAAGACATACAGTGTCCTAAATAAATACAATGTGAAAGAAGATTCTGGATCATAAGACATAGCAATATTAAAAAAGTAATAGTTAGTCGATTATACAATGAATTAGTTGAATCATAAATTAAAAGCAGTTAAGAATAACATGAGTTGAGAACGGTCAATGGTTATGAATTTGAAAGAAGTTATAAAATTAAAATAAGAGAAAATTTTTTAGGAATGACGGAAAAATCTGATAAAAAAGTCACCATGGTAAGAGAGATTAACAACTGTTTACTTTTGGATTTATAAGTCCGGCCTAGGTTGTTTGGTGGTTATGTCTTTCAATGAAATAGAGAACAGAATTCGACTGTCCGTTATTGATGCTGAAGGATTTCAATCTATCAACCTGGTGCCCGTGTCACAAAGGTATTTAGGAATAGTACTGCTTAAAGCTTTTATTCCTATTGGCTTGACTTTTTGGAATATGCTCTTGAAATCGTAGGCCCTTGTTCCGTTCTGCAAATGTAACTGCTTTGGAAGGTACATGTAGGCAATTGGTGGTAACATGAAAAGGGTACCTTTCGATCTTTGATAGAAGTAAAAAATATACTGTCTTATGAAGGATAATGAGCTTTACTGCAGGATAAGTCCTGAGTAGTGTGGTTTTCAATCTTCTGTTTACTATCGCCTTTGAATTCGAAATGAGTGAAAGCAGGTTTGTTGTTTGCTACAGTTTCTTTAGCTGTTGCTTCATTACTTTTCCCATATCTCTCAATAAATTTATTTGGATAACCACTTTTACTAAGGCACTTTTAACGCCCACTAATTCTGCCTTTAATGTGTAGGTAGTGCATATCCTGTTCGTTCTGTGAGATGAGATTTTGATATGTATTATTTTGCAACTAATCGGACAAAAGCTGATAAAATCCACAGAAACACCACTCCACGTATCTCTTCGATAGACTGAACATCGAATTTTATCATCCTCCCTGTTGTATGTGGCAATGTTGAGAGAGTGGGACGTATAATCTTCTTCCTGTTTCATAGTAAACTGGATACTTCTATGAACTTTGCAGGTTTTTGCTTGGTGTCGACTATTACATTGATAAAAGTATCGTAAACACACGGTTAACGTCATTTTATCAATTGCTCCTTTAAGCTTGATCTTTTCAAAGTTAGCCATGAATATATCTGCTAGGACGGGACTTAATGGACTTCCCACCGCTACCGACATCAGTTTGACGGTATTTGATGTCATCAAATTGAAACTGGACATTAGTAGTAGTCGTTTGAGTTCTTGTACTGGTAAAGGTAGAAGATCGGATTGCTCACAGATTACGTCTATGGTTTAAAGAAGCAGTATTTTGGTAAACAAAGATGTCATATCAAAAGAAACCATCGGCTAAAACAATTTTAACTAATAAGTGTTAATTTATGTCGTAGAAACACATTGAGTGTATAACCATTTGAAACTTAAGATACTGACGATCATTCTACATACACAAAGCAACAGTTTTGAAAACGACGCACTCCGCATCAGAATAATCAGAAGAGTTTTGCTAATGCCAAGTAACAAACCATTTGCGTCTGCCGCTAAATCATCAAGATTCAAACAGACTGATTAAATGTTTTGTCGAAGCGTTAAAGCTGGAGCTTCTAAGGATATTATTTACTTTTTGGAGACAAATCTATTTGAAGATAAACCGAATAACTCAAACGAGTCCAATTACTCTTGACCAACCATACAACCTGATGCTAATGTAGAGTTTTCCGAATTGCTTTCAGTTAAACCGCTGGAGATATATAGAAATAACGATTACTGAGAAAGAAAATATATATTTAAATGAGAGCTTTGACTTTTCAGCGATGCGTGTTAAGTACCGAAATCAGTAGGGACATATGTCATGTTCAATAAAGTAAAGTTATAATAAAACGTTAACAACAAAGACCTTGGTGGTGTTTCGTTTTCTGAGCTGGGAACGAAACACCACCACAATCATCCACCTGAGCTACAAATTTTCTCCACCTTCACAAAGAAAGTCGTCATTCAATTAGGATTATCTTAAATTCGTATCTCAACAAAGTCAATAGTTCTGCTGTGTTATATAATCATTACAACACTGCATGGAAAAGAATATATTTCATCAAAAACACAAAATTAGTAGTGCTACTACTAATATACTTTGACAACAAAATGATTATACAAAGGAAACTCACTAGATTTATAATGCTGAAAGTTACGCAGAGGAGCGATGCGATCTATAATAAAATTGGACATAAATAAATAGACAGATGATGACAGGGAGTTTTTATTTTCATCCTAATAATAAAACAATTTAAGCATCTAATACAAAAAACAACTAAGACCGGTAAGGGTATTTGCTGCTTTCTTACAGTTGGGATTTTTGTTGCCAATGTTACTAGGAACAGTAAATGCAAGTGCTTTTCATTTGGTTTAGTTTTTTGCACGACTTCCACCCTTTTCTGACTGTTTGTTGCCACTATCAATTCACCGACTTTCTGCATGCTGGAGAGTCGTACCTCTGTTATCATACATACTGAGTTGAAACGCATTGTTATAATGCTGGATTACCAATGTTTCTCTACACCTTGTCTTCTTCCTGTACGTGCGGGAAACTGTTGAAGTGCAGTGTCCCAGATGTATGGTCTGTTGGACTTTACATTCGTTTTCGCTCGTATTAAAGAGTTCCCTAATTATTCATAAGCATAAGTTACCGTTGGCCAGTATGAAACAGTCCTCCATCATAATAAACTATCCTATAATACGACAAAATAATGGTAGTAAAAGAACAAGCTCGCATGGAATGATAACCGCGATCAGTATTTCATTACTCTTCTCCATGAGTTGAAACTTTTTCATTGAGATGATAAACAGCTATAGGTGCAAGACCAATTAGCCAATCAATGTCCAAGCAACAAAAGGGGTAAAAAAAGCCTCTCAGAATCCTTCTAAGTACAGAGCCAGTACGACAAATATACTACATAAGTGTTGAGTGTTCATTACTAGTGGCAAGATGGAATCCTGATTACTGCATGCTCAGGTCAGGCACAAATAAGGTTACGCTAATTGATATTTACCTCAACTAATCAGTACTACAGAACGAATTGAAGAGATATGATAAGATTCTCATGTAGAATTTGTAGAATCTCGAATATTTTTGATATTGTATTTTTTGCTGTCGACGTTTATTGGGATTCAGAATGTTCCTAACCAATTCTATTTCTGGTTTAGAACAAGTCGTGGCCAAGGAATACTAGCCAGTGAAGATAGGTGTAATCCTGAGTTTTTGAGAAGAATCTACAGACCAACTTTGGCCATCTACTAGTGTTATGCTCGACAATTGATAAGCTTGAACTATTACGAGTTTACCTTAGTCGGTGAACGAGAGCTAAGACAAGTGATTCAGTGACACAATAGGTTACTCTAGACCGAGCGTCCCAAGGCCCTGCTAGCGGTATTAAAAAGTATTGATATGATGTAACAAGCACCTAGAAAATATGAGGTCGACAAGCACACAAATTAGGTTTATTTATCCATCATAGAAACGTCCTTGGGAGAGCCACGAAAATAGTGTACTAAAACAAAACATCAATTAATGACAGTCAAGGATTTTCCTGGTGGGAAGTGTAGTCTCAAGGTCAACTGATCAGCCCATGAATAAAATCCAAAATTAGAACCTTTACCAAGTGAGTTCTGGGGATCTAAAGTCCCCAACAATTAGAGATATGCACTGTTACGTGCAGAAATTTCAATCAATCAATCAAGGTAGAACTTCGTACGTACGTACGGGAAATACATTTGGACAAAATATATTCATAACATCCCAATATCTTTAACAAGTACCATCACAAGCATTGATTAGCAACAAAAACTTACCTTGATTAGCACTATGTACAGATTCCGTCTCTGTATCGTAACTTTGTCCGATATTTCCTCCATGTCCAAGGTTCGCAGAAGTAGAATCAGCTGGAGCAGCGGTCGTATGTGACTGCAGCACACAAGAATTGATTTTGCATTCGTTGTTGCTTTTTGAAAAAATTTTAAAGCACATTATATAAATAATCATTTATTAGTCTATATTAACAAAGTTATTGTTATGCGGTCGACGACTTAAGTTGAAATTAAGCCTCGGCTGAGGCAGGATACGAATGAAGTTAGTCTTAGAATTTTACCTAGTTGAAGAAAGGCACGCTACCATTAACTAGCCGACAAACTAAGTGATTGTTGCATGAGGATGTCTAAATATGTGAAAATCGTTCAAGCGATAGCATTCATTCACAGATATCAACCTAGACATACACAAACACACCCGAGCAAATATTAACTAAGGTAATCGATGGAAGTAGTGAGACGGCCAATAGAGGTATACTGTGGAAAACACGTGAAATATATAGCATATATTTAAGACTTTGAAGATGATAGAAAATGAATTAACTAATAGATTTGGACTCCATTTCATCCACTTTGGATGAGACAACCACGTAGTACCACAATCATTCAGTTTCGTCCAAAGTTGAGTATACAGAAACCTGTACACAAAGAGCATGGTATATCACAACTATACCAATAAATCTTTCTAATATTCAGGATTATTGAACTTGGGGGCTGTGACAGATCAACTCCCTATTGGATTTTTAAAGCTCAGAAAAATATTATCATTACTTCATACGAAATAAAACCCTTAGTGCATCCAAATCACAAGACTGAACGTTATGTACGCATACACCACTCTTCAATGGGCACTTTCATGTAGGTCACACACCATAATATAGATACAAAGCTAACAGTAGTTTCAGAAATCAGAATGGAAATATATTAAGCGAAACCAAAAGTAAAGCAGTACTAACACCAAGAATACACGACTCGTCACCTTGGCAACAAGCACTGCGGAAGTATCACAATTCGACAGAGGTGATGCACTAGAGCACGAAGTATGCATGTAGACAGACAGAAAATTCGGTACTAGTTTGTCATCTGTGAGTATAGAGTTAGTCAGTTGCAACGTAGAACTTCGTACGTATGTACATAAGTTCATGTTGCCATACCACATCAGCACAGAGACGCAAATGTCAAATCAAATCCCATAGTGATAAAGATAGTAGAGGTATTAATGGTAATGAAGAAGACTAGGGTTTGAAGATATTATTCAAGAAGTATAATTCAGTGAGATAAGGTTAGAAAGACAAAGGTAGATGTGCTGACGAATCCAGAAGATTATGATTTGACAGAGCTCAACGAATGGATGCACCTGCGCCATTGCAAACGATTTTGGGCCATATCGTTCAAGGTCTCTAACCATTGGTGACTATCGTCTCGCGGACCCCAACCAGGTAGACTACATCTACCAACATGACTCAGTCCACTAGTCAGTGACTTCATGGATTTCTGCCATTTTTTGAACTGGCCGCCCCTAGCTTTCTTCCGATCTACACCTACACCACAAAACATAGCTCGTCGAGGCAGTTGGTGGTTAGGCATTCGTAACACATGTCCCAACCACCTCAACTGATGAAGTTTCACCACTTCATCTATTGATCTGCCATCCTTACCTAGTACTCGTTTCCTAACGACAGCATTGCTTACTCGGTTGTCCCACGATATACGAGCAATGCTTCTTAAACATCTATGATCGAATATTAGTAACCTACGGACATATTCTACTCTTAACGGCCATGTTTCGCAGCCATATAGGAGAACGGAGCGAACTGCTGCGCAGTACACCAGTCCTTTGGTTAGCGAACCGATATCTCGCCTAGACCATAAACAGCGTAAATTGGCAAAAGTAAATCAAGCTTTCTGTATCCGCGCTGAGATTTCGTCAGTCACCAGGCTATCGGCACTGATGAAACTCCCCAGATAAGTGAAGCGATCAACACGTTCGACTACTTCACTCCCTATCACTAGTTCAAGTGCCGATGCAACCCAGTCTTGGAGCATCATTTTGCATTTCGAGGGGGAAAACCGCAACCCGAACATGCTTGTACTGTTGTTAATGGTAGTCAGAAGACTCTGCATTTTGTCAGCGTCTTCATCAAGTAGGACCATGTCATCGGCATATTCTAGATCAGTAAGCGACTTTCCTGGGAAAGGTCAAACCCTGAAAAATCTGACGAGCTTAATGTTAACTCTAAGAGGATGTCTACGACAAAGTTAAACAAGAATGGGGACAGTTAACATCCCTGACGGACACCACTTGATGTAGAGAATTCAGATGATAGTTTGCCGTAGGCTCTCACTCGAGTAGAGAGCTGGTATAAGGTTACTGTACTTCTCTGGTACACCTTTCAATGACAGACACCGCCACAGAACCTCACGATCCACTGAGTCGAATGCCGCCTTAAGGTCCAGGAAAACAACCATTGTAGGACGTCTAAATGTGTGTCTGTGTTCCAGGACCTGTCGGTGCGTGAAGATATGGTCTATACAGCCACGTCCGTGTCTGAAACCAGACCGGTTTTCTCTAGTCTGCTCTTCACGAGCTTTCGTTAAACGTCGAAGTATTACTGAGGCCAATATTTTAGATACTATATTAGTTAGACTTATTCCTCTGTGATTGTCACAAGAGGACTTTTGTCCTTTCTTATAGATTGGGACAATCAGTGATTGAGACCAGTCGGATGGGATTACGTCCAGTTCCCATATTCTGCCTAAGATCTCAGTCAACCTAGCTGCTAAAACTGGACCACAATCCTTAAACGTCTCAGGGGTCAGTCCATCAGGACCTGCAGCTCGCTCTCGCTTCAGATTTCTTAACGCTTTCTCAACTTCATTAAGACTAGGGGGACTTACGACGATTTGCCATTCAGGATGATTGGAAATCGTGGGTAACCGAAGTGTGGCTGAAGGCCATTTGGACTGATCTCTGAAATGTTCTGCCCATTGGTCCAGTCTCCTGGATTGAGAATGGATAATAAGACCATCCTTTTCCGAAATAGTCTCACTCACATTTGGGTTCCTAATACCAGTTTCCTTGATGAGTCTGAATAGTTGCCTACTGTTGCCTATCACCGCTGCCTTTTCCATCTCTCTTGCTTTCTCCATCCACCACTGTTCTCGATCTTTGCGTAGGCTTTTTGTCTGACTCCGATCCTCATCGCACTCAGAGACAGGCGGGATTAGTTTTCGGGTATCCATCAGTTCGGTAGATGCTATTGAGATCCACGGCTTCATCCTAGCTTTATGGTTTACCCTACTAGAAGATATCACTGCTGTTTCAACAGCCTTTTTGATATCATACCAACCTGCTTCCGGATAGGAATCACTTACATGGTTGCTTAACTCTCTTTCTAGCTGCTCCTGAAAAATATTCTTAGCTGCGCTATCACACTCACTCTTGATAGTGAGCAGATAGAAGTAATCGAAAAGTTCATGTACCTGGGTAGCTGACTAAGTACTGACGGTGGCGTGAGTGATGAGATCAATTTACGTGTAGCGAAAACCAGAGAGGCTTATGCCAACTTGGGTGAGCCACCTTTGGCGCCTTCGTGATGTTAGTCTGACTGTAAAAGGTTGGATCTACGACGCGTCGGTGAGCAGTTCTGCTTGTGAAACCTGGCCTCTCTGAGTTGAGGATGTTCTATGTCCGATCTTCGTTGTCACCAAAGGGTTGCTGACATTCAGTAGCAACATCACGTTAGTGATGCAGAGGTTTACCGTGTATCCGGTAGAGCAACGATGATTCAATTGATGTCGCCGTGTATTATGAATGTCGTCCCAGCGGATTTCACATCGCGCATTACTGTCCAAGGCTGGGGTTGGTTGTAAAAAGTGGGGAGGTGGTTAGTGTATGACACGATGTCGCGGTATGAAAGAAAATTGTACATGACTGGTATCCGTTGGTCCTTCTTCACGTTCCTCCTGATTGGAGTCTTAGAGATGAGGTAACTCAGTGGCTTGAGACGTTATCAGACATGGCTCACAATGGAAACCAATAGTGGTCCTAATGTAACTTTATTTCATTTTCACATCTTTAACTGAAAGAATTCTTTCTAACTTTATTTTCCTTAGTTAAACTGTTTCTCCCACTATTATTACTATTATTTTAATCTCATACACTTATTCTCACTGTTCTACCTCTATCTCTTCACAACCTTATTTGGATGGTGTGGCGCCAGATTGTGCCAATATTCGTGTTTGAAATAATAATAGTCACAAAACTGAGATCAATCTTAAAAGTCAAGTACACAAGATAGATACACAAGATAGATAGTTACAGAACTATTCGAAGCTTACAAACAAACACAAATGTTCTATGTTACAGCAAACTTACCGCGTATTATTTGACTCCACATCAAGATCAGTAGAATATTTGCTGGTATTTGCATTAGTATTTGCTTCACCAGAAGGGCTGAGAATACCTGCATCGGACGTTATACTTTCATCTGTAGTCACCAGCTAGAGTTGAGGGTAGAAAAACGAAGTCAAATGGTAACTGGTGTCCTGATATCGGAGAGAAATTATGAAGCTGGTTAGTTTTTAAAAACAACATTGAATTCTATATAAGATTTTGACACCACAGTTATGCAAATGGTTACAATAGTAAGATTCACTTAGAAAGAATGAGTCGGTGAATTTGGTGCTTACCTTGAAAATTACAAATAATTTAGTTTCACACCAAACTGGCTCAGGTATATAAGTCTTTAAAATAGCCTTTTTGGTTTTTCTTAGTGTTTTAGTATTAATGTCGTACATATTTTAAATTTGAGTCATTGGGTACTAAGCCATACAGTATGAAAGTTAACGATGATATCATACATTTTAAATGTTGGTGAATCTTTCAGACATGTGATAAGCGTAACTTCAGTATCTGGACCAAAGACAACATAAATAAACATGGAAACTAATCTCATATAAATTGTCCTTCATTTTCGTTAACTCTTTGATATCCCTTTATAGCATCTAAAAAACTAGATTGCTCTGAAAAATCCAACCAATACCTCTAAGGACAGTGACATCGAATGGAACTGAGGATTGAGCTTCAAGTGCAGTGTTCATATGGGGTAAGCCAACAACCTAATTTATACATATAAAAATGGAGTTCCGAAGCTGTGAAAAACAGCAGGCTGAGGAGGATGGTTAGGCATAAGGGTTAATAACTCCATGCCACAGGTAACAACCTTGCTAAAAAAGCACTAACCATGAAAGTAGTTTAAACCAGTAAACTCTGCCCGGGAAAATGGAAAGAAGTTGTTTGGAAGAGTTATGATGCCTCATCGTAAAAGCCGAATTTCTTTGATGTCATAACGCCAATTCCTCTTATAACAACCAGAGGGGCAATAAATAAAGATACATGGAATGTTCGCACAATGTACGAGTCCGGGAGAATAAAGTTGCTACGGAAATAGATATATACAACCTGGTAGTGTTTGGAATAAGTGAAAGCCATTGGATGCAGACTAAAAAACGGTTATCTTCAGGAAAGACTCTGTCGCACACCGGCCATGAGTAAGAAAATGCCTTACATACACAAGGAGTGGCACTGATACTGTTCAAAGAAGCACAAAAAGCACTTATACGATGGGAAATCCATGTACCATTATCATCGACCTGCCTACGCCTGTTGCCCCAAATATAATATAGGCTTCCAACCAGCGAACTATTTCACCTGGTCAGAGTTTTTCTAGAGTTAGATTTCTACCCAACACTCCTTAATGTGGGCGTGGGACCAGCAGCAACCCCGGAAGGGCTCCCATCGGAGTATTATTGAAGCATCCTTTAAAACAAAGAGGTAACAATAGATGTCATCTAGTGCTTTGCGCCTACCAACTACAACAATGAAGACGATAAAGAACAGTTCTATGAGGCTGCAGTCAATAGTTAAGAAATGCCCACCAGATTATTTAACCATTCTGATGGGAGATCTAAACACCAAAGTTGGAATGGACAACACCGGATACAAAGATGTCATGGGACGACATGGACTGGGAGAAAGGAAAGAAAACGGTGAGGACTTTGCAAACCTATATGCCTTCAACAAACTGGTTGTGGGCAGCATCATACTCCCATACAAATTCGTACACAAAGCCACATGGGTTTCACCACGTAACACTACGGAGAACCAGATCAATTACATCTTCAATATTAAATAATTCGGAAGGTCCACGGAAGGTGTGAGAACAATGAGAGGAGCTGACGTAGCTTCACTGTCTATACGAACACAGCAACCCATAAGGCGCTTCTGGATATAAACGACCAATTATCGTTGATGTATCAGTCGATGTTAAATGGTCAGGAAGTTCAAACATGAAATCCAAGAACAGCGAGACACGTGAGTAGGGCACTTAGAACTCAAATAGACCAGCCCACCTGAACCCAAATAATACCCAAGCAGCACACACCGATCTCTCAATAGATGTTGACCCACCAACGGTTGGAGAAGTTAGCATGGTCGGCAGATAGACCAAGAGTGGCCAGGAGGCATTGACAGAAAACATGCCATCTGAGGCACTGGAAGCAGACACAAAACAAACCGCAAAGATGATCCACTCTCTGTTCGAAAAGATTTCGGAAGACGAACAAGTACCAACACACTTGAAAGATATTTCATGCAGACACCAAAGATAGATTTTGTAAGTGCGAGAACTACAGAAGAACCACATTTATATTAGTACCAAGAGAAGTCTTCAACAGAGTTTCGTTGAATAGAATGAACGACCTCGTAAACGCTCAACTTCCAGTTCAACAGGTCGGGTTCAACAAGGATCAATCACGTACTGACCAAAGCACGACAATGAGGAGCGTGGCGAACATATAAATGAATGCAACTCACCACTACAAATCGACTTCTTTGACTACGAGAAGGCATTTGACAACGTTGACAGGATAACATTACGGAAACTTCTTCAACACTACAGTGTACTTGAGAAGATAGTCAACATCGAGCAGAATTCTTATGATGGATTGGATTGCGAAATCTTGCATGGGGGACAGCACATAGACCCATTCCAAGTGAGCTGGTGTCAGACAAGGATGCCTTTTCTTCTGGTGGTTGACTGTATTATAAAGACGTTAACATTTGGCAGGGGGAAGCACGGAACACAGTAAACAAGTGGGACGCAACCAGACGATTCGGACTTTGCGGATGTCCTAGCTCTTCTATCTTACATACAGCAACAAATCCAGACGGAGATGGCCAGTGTAGCAACGCCAAAAGCGCAGTAGGTCACAACACACAAGGTTAAATTTATTTTCCTCCGATACAACACAACATGCAACAACCAATTCGCACTTGACAGAGAAGCTCTGGAAAATGTGAAGACTTTTAAATACCTGAGAAGTATCACTGATGAACAAGGAAGATCTGATAATGATTTAAAGGTAAGGATTAGTGAAGCAAGGGCAGAATGTCTGCAGCCGAAGAACATCTGGAACTGCAAACAACTATCAACCAACACCAAAGTCAATACGGACATCAAGACAGCTCTGTTGGTCAGACCCGATCAGCAACAATTACTCTGGGCGAGAACGAACCAGATTTCAGATGACGAAAAAATTACTAAAACTCGCTGAAGGTGCTAAAGCCACGTTTTGAAAACCATTCATGTGAGTCAAGGGGAAAGCCCTAACTCGGAATTCTCAGTGTCAAACGGAAGGAGGAAGATCAAATTGCACACACTGGGAATTGGAGACGGGAGTTAGAAGAATGAATAGTAATTGGGAATAACTGGAAAACAGAGTCCGATACGGAGTTGGTTGGAGATTGCTGGTCAGTAGCCTATTTTTTTATAAGTAACAAGCATAAGTGCGTGAACAAAAGTAAAGACAATCTGAATATCTAATTTACAAGTTGAACTGTATGTCAGTCAGTCAGTCAGTCAGATGCAACGTAGAATTTCGAACGTAAGTACATCAGTTCATGTTGCCATGCCACATCGGCACAGAGATATAATTGTTAATTCAAATCCAATGGTAGAAGAGGTAGTAAAGGTATTTGAAGTAATTGCAGAGGTTAGGATTAGAAGATATTCAAGAAATATGATTCAGTCAGAAAAGTTTAGAAAGTCAAAACTAGAGGGGTTGAAGAATCTAGAAGATGAGGATTTGAGAGAACACAAAGAGTAGATGCACCTGCGCCATTGCAAACGGTTTTGAGTCATGTCATTCAGGGTATCTAGCCATCGATTATTATCATTTCGCGGACCCCAACCAGGTAGTCGACAATAACCGACATGGCTAAGTCCACTCGTCAATGACTTCATGGATTTCTCCCATGTTTTGGTTTGGCCGCCCCTAGCTTTCTTCCAACCTATTCCTACATTACAAAACAGAGCCCGTCGAGGCAGTCGGTGGTTAGGGATACGTAGCACATGTCCCAACCACCTCAACTGATGGAGTTTCATTACTTCATCTATTGATCTGCCACTCTTACCTAGCACTCGTTTCCTAATAATAGCGTTGCTCACTCGAGTGTCCCAGGATATACGAGCAATGATTCGAAGACACCTATGATCGAAAACCAATAGCCGACGAGTATCTTCTACTCTCATTGGCCATGTTTCACAGCCATAAAGTAAGACGGAGCGAACTACTGCGCAGTACACTCGTCCTTTAGTCAGCAAACGGATATCTCGCCTACGCCATAAGTGACGCAGGTTGGCAAAAGCCAATCGAGACTTCTGTATCCGTGCTGAGATTTCGTCAGTCACCAGGCCATCAGCACTGATGAAACTCCCCAGATAAGTGAAGCGGTCAACACGCTCGACTACTTCACTCCCTACCACTAGTTCAAGTGCCGATGAAACCCGATCTTGAAGTAACATTTTGCATTTCGAGGGAAAAACCGCATCCCGAACATGCTTGCATTAATGCTTAGGGTGGTCAGAAGACTGCATTTTGTCAACGTCTTCACCAAGTAGGACTATGTCATCGGCATATTCTAAGTCAATAAAAGAGCCACCTGGTAGAAGGGCTACTCCTGAAAATTCAATAGAGGATAGGGTTATTTCTAGCAGCATGTCAATGATAAAATTAAACAAGAATGGAGAGAGTGGACAGCCCTGACGGACACCACTTCAAGTGAGGAATTCCGGTGACAGTTCGCCATAAGCTCTCACTCGACCAGTGGAGTTCGAGTAGAGAGCTTGTATAAGGTTACTGCACTTCTCTGGTACACCTTTCAATGACAGACACCGCCACAGAACCTCACGATCCACTGAGTCGAATGCCGCCTTAAGGTCCAGGAAAACAACCATTGTAGGACGTCTAAATGTGTGTCTGTGTTCCAGGACCTGTCGGTGCGTGAAGATATGGTCTATACAGCCACGTCCGTGTCTGAAACCAGACCGGTTTTCTCTAGTCTGCTCTTCACGAGCTTTCGTTAAACGTCGAAGTATTACTGAGGCCAATATTTTAGATACTATATTAGTTAGACTTATTCCTCTGTGATTGTCACAAGAGGACTTTTGTCCTTTCTTATAGATTGGGACAATCAGTGATTGAGACCAGTCGGATGGGATTACGTCCAGTTCCCATATTCTGCCTAAGATCTCAGTCAACCTAGCTGCTAAAACTGGACCACAATCCTTAAACGTCTCAGGGGTCAGTCCATCAGGACCTGCAGCTCGCTCTCGCTTCAGATTTCTTAACGCTTTCTCAACTTCATTAAGACTAGGGGGACTTACGACGATTTGCCATTCAGGATGATTGGAAATCGTGGGTAACCGAAGTGTGGCTGAAGGCCATTTGGACTGATCTCTGAAATGTTCTGCCCATTGGTCCAGTCTCCTGGATTGAGAATGGATAATAAGACCATCCTTTTCCGAAATAGTCTCACTCACATTTGGGTTCCTAATACCAGTTTCCTTGATAAGTCGGAAAAGTTGTTTAGTGTTCGGTAGATGCTATTGAGATCCACGGCTTCATCCTAGCCTTATAGTTTACCTTACTAGAGGATGTCACTGCTGTTTCCACAGCCTTTTTGATATCATACCAACCTGCTTCTGGATGGGAATCGCTTACATGGTTGCTTAACTCTCTTTCTAGTTGCTCCTGAAATATTTTCTCAGTTTGATTATCGTTAAGTAAAACCCTAAGAGGCTTTCTTACGGTGTCTTTCCTACGCCCAGTAAGCCTCAAACAGATACGAGCTCGCACTAGGGCATGATCTGAATCTAAACATAAGACTCAGAACGTGCGACAGTCCTCTATCGAACCCCTCCATCGGTGGCTGATGGCGATGTGATCTAGTTGAGTCCAACGTTGAGACGACTTCGGAGGTCGCCAGGTCAACAGATGCTTTTCCTTATGCCTAAAGTTAGTGTTCGCTAAGATTAGGCGGTTATCTGAGCATAGTTGCAACAGACGGTCGCCATTGTCTGTTCTCTGAGCCGCGACACCATAACATCCACCTACGTGTCTTTCATTTTCACTTAGTCTACCTACTTGAGCATTAAAGTCACCAGCCATTATTACTATATCAGAGCGCCTAGCTTTTTGGAGGAGGTCCGAAAGCTTTCTGTAAAATTCGTCTTTAACCTCGTCTGAAATGCAGTCAGTGGGGGCATATGCAGATATGACGAAGAGGCAACGGCGAGTGTCCCTATCCTTCCGAGTCCTTACTGTCCCGTTTAGTCGGACAGCGCACAAGCGACTATCTACTGGGATCCAGTCTAGGAGAGATAGTTCTGCCCTAGGACTCAATGCTATGTCTACGCCAGCAAGACCCCTGGAAGCAGCATCAGGGCTACCGGATACACGAAGCGTAAATCCAGCTGCTTCTTTATTTTGACAAGGTGAAATCAGATTAATAATTTTACTAGGATCCTGTATGCGCGTTTCCGAGACGCAGCACACATCGATGGCACGAGATTCTAAAGTCCTAGCTAATGATGCCTGTTGCCCTATTTGACACAAAGTCCGTACATTAAAAGCTCCAACATGTAGTCTAGAACGGAGTTTCAAGAGACCAGGAACGATGTTTCGTGAACTCGCTTCGTCTGCATTAGCGGTGCAGTGAGAAAAGGGACTGTGAGTAGAGATAAGAGAGATATTAGGGGGTGTAGGAAGGATTTGATTTTGACTAATTTGGTCTCGCGTGCTGTTACGGGTATGAGGGCGGTTGTCACTTCCCGGCTGCCAAACCGTGGAAGGTGGTTTCCTGAGGAACCTGAAAAGGAAGATAGATTAGTGTTGGTGCGTGACCGCAGAGCCCAAGGAACAACTGCTTGAGGCCGGTCACGCACGGCCTTCTTGTGAAAGGATTTTTTAGTATTAGCTTCGCTCTTAAAGGCCCTTAGTGGGCACCCTTACCCAAGGAGACGGAAATCCATGAGTTAGGGGAGGTGTGACATTTTTAGGGCCGACCTTTTTTAACCCTTCCTTCCTTGTGAGAAGGCAGCATCGCTGCAGATGCTGGTTATCCGAGGGAAACACCTTACTGCTGTCACACCCCTCTGCAGTCAGCAGTACGACTTCGCCCTCAGACCTTGAATGGCTGCGCTTAGTCTCATCGTTCTCCAATCGACCTGCCTGGCATGGTAGAACCTTCAAAGACATATGTTCCAGCCAATATAGCTCGGTTGGGTCATCACAATAGGCAAGCCCGACCACCACGTCAAGGTAGCAGCTACAGTAGGGTGAACTGTATGTATAATCTGATAGCCTACATCTTCACTACACTCCTTACCCAAAAAAAATCGAGGACACTTGGAGTTAATCAGACAAATTGTAGTAACTGAAGTGTCTATATGTAATGGATGCTAAAAAAATACAAGTTGCAAGACTTTACTTTATTATATAACAGACATTTAGATATATCCTTTTGATAATCACTTCGTTATTACTAACCAACAGTGAAGTGTGGCAGGGTTACCTATACTGAATACTTCCTTAACTTTTTTATTAGGTTTTGGAAATATCTTTGAAGAAAATATAGTAACGATGAGGAAAAAACTAAACAGAGTACATCCTTATCAATAAAATAATGATTGATAAATATGGTGAAAATACATACCCAAGAAATAACACGACCATTAAAACAAGGGAGCGGAGCGTTATCTTCAGATATTTCTTCCTTAACAACCCTAAGAATAATAAGAGAATCGGAAATTAAAAGAAACTAAAAACAGCAAGAATGGTCAAATGTCTCAAAAGTAAACGTATGGTTTGCTTACTTTACTTCACATAAGCAGTGGAAGAAAATTATCGGTGGTAATATTATGGGTCAAATCAAAGCAGAAGTACATCTAGGAAATTTTACGTGAAAATGTAGTATGCCAGAAACATATCCTACTGAAAGCATTTTGTCTGAATATGTGGTTGTACTGGATGATTTGAGGACTTGTAACCGGTTACGTCAAGTATTATGTGCAACATGACCTTCTCCTTCGTGGCAGATATGCTGAGTTAATAGTTTCTTGCTTACAAGTTTCATAGAAATAACACTTACTGAGACTATTGACATAGGGAACATATGAGTCTCACTGAATGAAATTGGAAAAAAACTAGCCTACAAAACAATTTGAACGACAAACTGAGACTATGGCAGATGCTCTGACAAATGGTTTCTTAGGACTGATTTACAATATTATATACCATGGATAATGCACTGATAGGCATTTTAGATTGGTCACAGACGAGATTTTATGTGAATATAAAAGGCCCACTAGCTTTTGAGTTACATTGAACGAATAATTTTCCAGACAGACGAGCACCCAAAACCAGTAACGTACTAGAATATATCGGTTGGAATAACGTTGTTCTTTCAATCGCTCCAATTATGTTTAATGCATGAAAATATGGAGCTCTGGTCGCGAGTTCCACTCGTTGATGATTCGATGGGGAATTTGATAGCCAGCTGACAAGTTATGTTCAGGACTCACAACTCCCACTGTTCTCACAAATTGCTTCGTACGGCAAGGAAAATCGGAGCATGTGATAAGCAAACTTATCATCGAGTAATTGAAAGACTGTGAGCAAGTCATCTTTGGTCCCTATATATGTTAAATGCAGTATGTTTATTTTGGCCAGTCTCTTGTCATACAAAGGATTTGCAATTCCGGTAATCAGTTTAGCTGCGATTCACTGAACATTTCACAAAAGCCATATTCTTAAAGCATGGACTGGGTGCTTGTATGAAATAATGAAGTTAAAGATGAACAAATACTGTGTTAGCATAAACAGTGCTAGAGGCTCCGCGTATTAGTCACATAGTTCTATAAACATTGATGATTACGTGAAAAATGAGAAACATCAAGCGAGTAGTGAAGTGTATATTACTGATAATACAACAAGAATATAGCAATACCATTTATAAGATACCGAACACTTATGTTCGAGAAATTACTAACCCAAAATCATCGTCCAGTGATTTGAAGAAAAATTTCGAATGCGGTCTATTCAGAGCGTTTTTAAAATCACCAAGCGTGACTTTTTCTGGAGCGATATTGAGTTTAACAAGGTAGGGAGTCTCTTCTTCATCGATGTAATATATGAACCTGGTCTCGGCACCGATATTGCCGTCAGTCATCGGGAACGAAACCCGGAGAAAACCGCCCTGAAGTACTTTAAGTGAGATGAAACAATATTCAATTCATGACAATTCAAGGGATGGCAAAATTAGAGTACTAAACCTATTTTTATTCGAACACCATGATTCACTACCTGGGTGGAACATTGATCAGTTCACAACAGAGGGCGATATTTGATTGATCAAATTTGAAAAACGGAGATGAATTCTTCCACTTGTTGAGATATTAGGTTTCTGTTGCGTTTATCGTACCAGAAGTTAGATTTAAACTCGTATTTGACGCTTTCAGTGTAATTTGTATTTGTGAAGTACCTTTGGAACATGCTTTTTACTTCAAATTTCAACAGTTGAACCTTTTTTTCTTAGTGTGTAATCAGTCGGTACCTACCCGTACTAGCAAAAAGAGTACGTAGTACTGTACTTTAGGTTCAGAGATGCATAATGTGCATTGTCTGTCTGTTCCAACCGTCCTGTTAACTGGCCGACCAACATCACTACAATCAGAGGCTGTGTTATCTCGACAGACTGGTAGGTCATTGTAGATGGGTTGGTCAAAGATAACTGGCATGACTGTCAAGTCACATCCCCGTTTATGCCATGGTCAACATGTAAGCAACGAGGAGACTTGGGTATCGCTGCGGTGTCGGAAACACTTCTGTGATTTGTTCTTGTCAACAAGTCGCGTGTTTTATAATAGAGAATGTCGGAAAATACTGAACATCTGTCGAAAGACTATAGCAAGAAGCCGCACTATTTACGGGTGACAGTTGGCATACGACAGCTGTAACTACCCAAGACGATTATATTGGTAGATAAAATGATGGACAAGGCCTAGTGATTGAACTATTTCATTACTACTGCACGAAAATTAAGATACATTTGTAGTCAAGGAGAACACAGGTGGGGCAACCGGATTGTGTTTACCGAAAATTACAGAGTTACTCAGTAAAATCGGAAAACCATATCGTAAATCGTTAATTTGCAAAATATCAGTCCATCATATCTAACTGGACTGTTCCTGTTACAAAACATCAATCCATTGTCACTATTCATGCGTTTCGTACAAATTCCATTGTGTTCTAACTCTTCCTTTCTTGATCTTCCCCCCATCTTCTCCTGCCAGATATTACGTTGACACTCACGTCAAATACTACTTATAAGTAGCTCACACCACACATTACATGAATCAGATATGGCTGAGCTTGATGCTCTATCAGACTGTTATGGCTAGGCATTAACTGCGGACATTGTTAACAACATTTATCACCATTCCACCAGTATATGTGAGTTAGGAAGCCGCTCTTCAATTACTGATTGACCTCATACCCCGCAAATCACATAAAACTGATGGGGTACACCCACTATTGATATCATCCCTTGTGTACAATATTGTAGAACTAATGTTCAGCACGTCAATTTCCTAGGCCCAACTTCCTCGGGATTAGAAGGATGCCCTTACTAGCCCTTTTTTTAAATCAAACAGAACGTGTCTAACCATCGACCTGTCAGTTTAATCAACACAGAAGTTAGTCTACTTGAAGAAACTAATTCGGACTAAGTTACTAAATCAAGTTGAACCATACAATTTTCTGACTCCTGAGCGACATGAGGTTCGGAATAAGCTCTCGTGCTTAACTAACTGATTGCGAGAGATTAAACAGCAGCTATCTGGGTAAGATACGAGGATTTTGGCAAAGAATTTCATAAGGATTTTGAAGAAGCTGTTATGCTTTAGAGCAACTTGTGCAGTACACTAATGAAAAACAATTTGTTCCGTAGCCGAAGGCAGAGAGTGAGAACGTGGAGTTATCTTATTTTGGTATTCTGTATTTGGAAAATTAACTTCGGTGTTAATATATCATATCTTTTTATACCGAACAATATGTGAATTCAATTGTGAAATGTAATCCATTTGTCTGTACTGTCGAGGAGAGTACTGGATTAAACATGATCTGAGAAAAAATGTCACGGTTTTATGGTCCGCAAAAAGAGCGAATCCTTGGCCTTTGGAGTGTTGAAAATGCAATAAGACACTGTACAGTTATGAGTTCCCTGTGGAAAGTGCAATATCTCGACTAAGTGTCCTGCAACCATCCCGAGAAAAATGTTAGTGGTTGCCTGGTATTTTCTACCCATTGTTGTAGGACTTCTCCTATTCCTGAATCACACGCATCAACCGCGAGGCTAATGGTTATGCAGGTGTCTAGCAGTGCCAATACAGATAACCTAGAGATGTGTAAATTAATTTCTTTTTAAAATCGTCCAAATTATTGTTTTTCACATTTTCTGTAGTTGGTTGGTTAAGGGTCTCATGAGTGATACACAATTCTATATAAACCGTCGCTAGAAGCTTACTAGTCCATTAAACGTGCTTAATAGTTCGACTATTGTTAGTTCTGGATAATCGGTAATGGTCACCATCTAATCTTCTTGAGATCAGATACCTTAAGCATCAATAGTATGCCGGAGAAAATCGAGAGAATGGTTTAAGATTTGATTTTTCTGTGTCACGTCATGATTTTAGGGTTGCTGAAAAACAATGCCCAAACACTTGAGGTGAGATTCTCTGTCAAGACCTGCAATAAGAAAGTCATCAGAATAAGCATGGATGACGTCCAGACCTCTGAAATGATTATTGATGAATCTCTGGAAATCTTGAGCTGCACCTCTCAAAGCGAGGGCATATGTGAAATTTGAAGTTCAAAGGAGGAGATGATAGCCGTTTCGGTAATGTCTTACGCAGCCATAGGGATTTATTTATGCTTTTAGTCAAATAGCTATTTGAAAAGAATTGTACATTTCAAGGTAGATGTCGAGTCATGGATATGAAGTAACAAACAGTTATCGGTTAGGGTTTTCATATCAAGTGGTTAGTTGTTACAGGTTCCTTCTGAGGACCATTTGCGAAGCGGCTCATTATCTGCATAGTAGTCAGATCAGTCCTAAATCTATCATATTGTCCAATATGTCACTGACATACGTTGGCCACGGAGAAATTATTTGACATAATTTCCAGAATACAGATGACCCATCAGCATTAGAGTGATGTTTAATAGTGCTGGTTACACGCGGCAATCAGGGTAGTGTTTGACACAGTTGTGGTATGATGGAATAATTTATATTTGAAGTAGATGCAGCTTGCCAACACAAAACGTACACCCTATCTTCAAACATCCATTTGTGAAACAGGTAAATTAATAACTGTCTACCCCATACACATCTTCTGGACTTTAAGCTACACTGATCACACACTGAACTAAGATCTCTTTCCATTTTTCCCTCTGATAACAAAGTTCAGGCAAAGCTACACTACATACTAATCATTCGTCACTTTTTAAATATTATACATAACACCCACCCCAAATTGCAAAGATTTCAGGAGCGCTGATCTTTGCAGTTCTGTCGTTGATATTCGACTCATTGTTTCTGATTCATCTGTATATTGAATCCACTTTGAAGCTATCTAGTGTGAGCTTTTTCTCTGTTTTTCCTTTCTTAATAATATCAACTGGTCCGGGTCTCTCGATTAACACGTATGGTCCTTCTCACTTCGAAGTAGTTTTCGTGAATCAAGTCCTCTTCCTGCTATCTGTTTTCATTCTTGAAGTTTTACCCAATTTCCTACCAAAAGGAGCTTTCGCTGCCACGTTTGATGCTGTGCAGATTTTTCACATCCACTTTTTATTTTCATCATCACCTCTTGTTCTCGCTCGTTCTGCTAGTGAAGTATGGTCCATTGTCTGTGATGACGTCCATGTCTTATCATCCTCTAGCAGATACAATACTCTGCTGTACATAAATTGGTACGACGACTTCCTTGTTTTGCCTTGAATCGAGGCACAATGAGCGAATAACAACATTGGCAGTTCAGTTTTTTGGAATTAAAGTGCGCAAATGTTAGCTCAAACGACATAATTTAAAACTGATATTGCCTCTGCCAAACACCAAATACTGACTTGTATCTTAAACTTGCCTTTATGGGCATCTGTCGATGTCCTGACGAGTGGTCTTAAACGGTGAATACTTCAGTTTATTATAAGCCGTCTAGGGTTTTTATCATTGATTTGAATGGACTGTCCATTTCTTTAATTATCCCATCCATCAAATTTTCTTCAACCTTATGATGAACTATGATCTTATCTGAATAAACTGTTGCAACCGTGAAGTTAGCTTAGACATAAAGAGTTGCTCGAAAGAGGCTGTTGTCTGATTTATTTGGCTGATGACCTCTCTTCCGTGCGTAATATCACTTCTGCTTGTGGAATGTGTTGTGATAAGATTTGGAATATCTGGTCCAACCGTTATTGATCGGTTATTACTCCAGATTTAGGAGTTATATTCTTCAGCGTACCCTTAAGTGCGGAAATCTCACTTGAAATCATAATAGGTGTGACGTGCCCGTTCAAGATGCGTGATATTGCCTTTAAGACAGTGAGGAGTTGTGCATATGTGTCTGTTACTCCGTGGTCACGGAAGTCAGGTTCAACGTAGCAAAGGTGGGCTTCGGCATTGTCGAATTAGAATAGCAAGAGTTGAAAAGTGTATGAGATAACACAAATCTCATCAGAATTTATGTCAAGGATATCAAGGGCTTGCAGACGCTTTCACCTGTAACACCATAATTTAGTATCCAAAACTCATTCAATCAAGAAGTCCGTAATAGTGGAGTTCGAAATTGTGTTTAGTAGATTACCATTATGTTGAGGAATGTTTACTCTAAGCTGGCTAATTGTGAGGTGTGCGCAGCATTACATACTCAACCTTTTATCGAGCACCCTTAAGAAGTGTCTGTCCATCAGAACTTGTGAAATCGGCTTCAATGTCAAAGACTTTAAGAAACTATTTATTGTGGAGAATTATCACGGCTATAATCCATTCAGGTGCACTAGGGAACTAAACACAGACTATCTGACTTAGTGGCAAAGACACGTTTCTATAACTGGTGTATAGATCCTATAGAAGAGTCCAATTCCTCACTGGGAAACTGGGGATTGGACGACTTTCACTCTGGATTGTTATAGAACCATTTTGCACTAAAATTTAATCACCCAGAAGAAAATCTTATTAAATGGGATAATAGCATAGTTGTGACTAACTTCATTCACTTAATTTCTTTTAACGGACAAACCGGTGTCTTGTTTAAACCAGTCAAAAGACGACGCCGCCGACTGCTTTTCCCCGAGTATGCCTCACGGTCATCGCAACAGATCGGGTCACTACAGGTGGAAAAACCGTAAGACAGTTGATCTCTTCACGTGTTTTGTGAATTTCACATTTTTTTCATTTCTGTTCGCTTTTATGTACGAAGAACTGTTGGGTATCTGAGGCTAATTTTTTTTTAGATTATGGGTATAGCTGTTTCAAGCCCAGTTTATGCTCCATTAGACTTTAATACATTGAATAACTAACCTCATTAGTTTTTGAGTACACACAGCAAGCATTCAACATCAAGCTACTTAGGATTCTGCCGTTTTCTATTCGGAATTATCGACGAGTTTGGTACCCATGTTTAGCCTGTTTTTTAAGACTGGACAATCAAGTCCTAAGTTCCTATGAACCCTGATTAGCATAGTGAGTACGTTAAGTGGACACATGTGAAGTGTTTGACAACGTGCGATAGTGGCAGGTTGTTGATTTACAGTGGATTACTTCTCAGAATAAGAAATAGATTAGTGATATCTGAAAGTGGATACATGGATTCAATCCCTTTCAGTCGCTAAAAAATCTTGGACCCTGTTATCAAACTACCAAACATTGATTATAATTATCATCTGCACCCAAGACAACCAATTTACTCCCCTCGTTTGCTCCGCTGGGTTGTGGTTTAATAAACTTACGGTACGTTTAAATTTAACCTCCTTAGGTATAAGATTGCTTTGAACACTACTGGCTGCATAGGTCTCGTACTAACACGTTTCAGCCACTTGGTTTCCTTCAAATAATATCATTATTCACTTCGTCGTTGTACCATACTAAAGCAACTTTAGAGATTCTGAAGAATAATTACTCGTAACCTACAGAATCTAATTGAGTTGGTTGAGATCCTCGTATCTGTTTTTCATTAGAAAGTGTACCAAAAAGTATGTTAGCTTATGAAAGGCTCTTATTGTGAATACTTCGGTTGAGTCAGAGCTTAGTAAACCGGCTACTCTGGTTTTTCTCAACTATCCATTCTTATTCGGCTCATTTGATTGTTTTAAACAAATATTCCCCCTTAACTTCTCTTTCCTAGTTCAATTCTCCAGGATTCCCACTCGAGTACTCACTCATTTAAAAGTACTTGGGTCGTGTAGCTCTATTGGGAACGTTGAGTCTTTTAGCCACCAAAAACACTAATGCAAGCGTTTGGGGTGAATTTAAAACTACTGAATATCCCGTTCGTTCGAGATTAGTCGTACGGTAGTTCATTTCTCCAACTTTATATGATTACTCTGTAATTAGCTTCAAAGGAAAATATTCTTAACCTACCCAAGTTACGTTTAATTAGTTGACCATACTGTTGTTAACGCTTGGCACCTATTTCATTTCTTTCAATTATGCTCAAGTGGTCATGGTTTATACACTGATTACAACTCTCTCAATGTGAAAATATTCTTGTTATCAAACGTCGATGTCAATGTGACTAATCTGTAAACACATGTCCTGCTAAGTTCGTGTGTCTGCGATCAAACCTGTTCATAGAGGTATATGATGCGTAATCGATTCCAAGTGTCTCCTAACAAACTAGTATGCGTACTCGCTTTACGTTATTCAACACTTTATTTATCTAAACAGTTAAACACTAGTACAAGCATACATCAAAATGTATGCTCCAGACTGTGATAAAACTCGTGTTCCCAAACCGAAACAGGTGGTCTTGTCAGAGCTACTCTTCAACCCTGTGAACCAAATGTTTGATCCACTAGACAGTAGGGCAACGTTAGGAGGTGCAGTCCATGGTATCCTTCGACCAACGGTAGGTTTATGTACTATATGTTTCCTCAGAATCCATGAGTCTATTTGCACCAGTGATTTGGAATCAGTTTTCAACTCCCATAGGTGGGTCTTCCTTGACTGCCAACCAAGTCTAAGCTCCAAACATTCGCTCTTTGTCCTTCCAACTTCGTAAACAGCACCCCGTCACACGGTATTGGGTAAGACTTCCTTAATAGTGGATATACACTCAGGCTTTGTGTGAAAATTTCGAGAGGTAGAGTAAACTCTCCTCACTTCTCTTTATATCAGGGCAGCACGGGGTTATTTAGTCTTCCATCTGCTTGTCTGTCGTAGCTATCGACTTCGAAATATTCCTTTGATTATCTGTTAAAATAACACATCCTTGGCTCAAAACTACTTGCAATGGCGCAGGTGCATTTACTCTTTGTGTTCCATGAAATTCTAACCTGAATTCCTCATCACCTCTTTCTCTTTCTGAATTTACCTCACTGAATTATACTTCTAGAATAACATCGAACCCTAATTTCTCCGATTGCTAATACTTTTACTACCTCTACTACTATGGGATTTGAATTGACAATAACATCTCTAATGTTGTGTGACAACTTGAACTGATGTACTTACGTACGAAGTTCTACGTTGTTGACTGACTGACTGAACACACATCCTTAACTTATTTATCTATCTTTTATTTGCTTAATCTCTTTTCAACTCATGTTATAGTCTGTCTACTGCAAAGTATCAAGTTATTTTCGTGAAAGATTTTGAGAAAACTCACATTTCGTGCTAATTTTGTGGTTTTTGCTGACAGTTATCTATATTACATTTCTATCACCTTTAAAATTTAGATGGAGATAACGATCGGCGTGTCGATACTACTGACGATTATTTACGACGACGCGAACATGCAGGGAAGTTCAATAGTGGTCGCAAGTCCATAATTTCTGGTAACAATGTGGACATGTTAAAACGTGCTATGAATATGAATGTAAGTATGTGAATTACGAATCGCTACATTGGCTATGTACTATTACATAGAAGAATGTTTAAACAGGTCTCTGCCAATAAGAAACATCTTCAGTTTATGTAATCATTTAGTAAGTGTTAACGTCGAACCTCGTACTTACATACATCAGTTCAGGTTTAGACATCTGAAAAATGTTTGGGATAATAGATACACCTAATATTAGTGTCTGCAGTAGGTCTTGTTCATCATTGTACACCTAGATATTTTCAAAAAGTTCTGGTGAAGAGTTTTTAACAACTCTAAGGATAAGTTTTACTCCCGTTTTTGGAAATGGCCTTGGTCACTACCACGACGAAGGCTCATTTACCATAGACACCAGATGCCAGACCAATTTTTCATCCGAGACGTCCTGTACCATAGTCTGGTTTAAAACTACTCGGTCAGGAACTTAATTGTTTGCGACAGGTTGGTATAATCCAGTCTGTCAACTACTCGACATAAGCCGTACTGATCATAGTGATCAAGATGGCCGTTTGAATTATACGCATATGTCCCATCTGCTCAACCGGTTTAAACGCTGTCATAGATGCATATCAATACCCGTTACCAGTTCACGATAATCTGTTTGCTAAGCTAAATGGTGGGACATGTTTCGCGAAAACAAACTTTCCCGATATTTATTTCTGCATAGATGTAGATGATTCCATAGTCTATAACTATCAACACTCATTGAAGGTTATTTCAATATACCCACCTTTCATTTTGTATCAAGACCATTTTTCAGCAACTAAAGGATACCATGTTAACAGATATACCTGGGACAGTCACTCATCTATAAGATATCATTGTTATGAACATAAGCCCTTTGATCGGTTATGTCGAGTTCTTAGTCGAGTGATGACGGAGTATGGTTTCCCACCACGTGAAAAAGTGCGTCTTCGTTATGCTTTCGATTAAGCACATTTGTTTCATCTTAGATAAGAACGGTCATCTTGCAGAGCAGCCAAATTAGAACCTATTCAGATTCTAGCATCAACCGATGTCCCTTCATTAGGATTTTCCTTGGGATTAATTAGTCACCCCAGCACGTTTCACCCCAAAATGCATATAGTGAGAGGTCCCCTGAATGAATTAGTGACAAAAGACAAACCTTGGTAGTAGTCAGCAGAATGTCAAGCATCATTCAACAAAGTCAAATCAATGCTCGGCTCGAACCTTCTGTTAACCCGATTGGAGCTTGTTGTTGCACGTGTGGTTTCTAATCATGGTGTCGGAGCAGTGATATCTCACTTATTTTCAGATAAATCAGAAATGCCAGTAGCTGATTCTTCTAGATCACTTACCTCAACCGCGCAGAACTACAGACAGGTTGGAAACGAAGCATCTCAATCATATTCAATATTAAAAGGTTCTATGAAGTTCTCGACGACCGTATATTCGCTTTACTGACTGGACACAAACATTTAATTGCAGTTTTTAGTTCTAAGAAAGGAATCTCTGTCCATATGGCTAGCAGATTACAGCGCTGTGCGAAAATGCTACTGAGCTACGATTCTCAACCTAAGTTTCAATCAACGAATCCCCTCAATCAAGCTGATGCTCCCCCCATTTCAGAGTTCCCCTACTGTAGCTGCTACCTTGACGTGGAGAGGCTCCATTAAACACTGCCGCTCATTGTGGGGCACATGGTTAGATTCAGACTATGCTTAGTGCGAGCGCGTATTTTTCGTCCCAACACTGGATCCAACTAGATCTCTTCGCTATAAGCCATCGGTGGAGAGGCTCTGTTGAAGACTTCCGCTCATCCTGGAGCACTTGTTTAGATTCATACTATGCTCTAGTGCGAGCGCGTATTTGTCAGCGTCTTAATAGACGTAGAAAGGACATCTTATGAAAACCTCCTCGGGTTCGACTTAATGATAACAAGTCTAAGAATATATTTCAGGAGCAATTAGAAAAACAGTTAGTCGGCCATGTAGTAAGTGATGCCCAACATGAGGTAGCTTGGGATGATATCCGAAAAACTGTGGAAACAACAGTGATATCTGCTAGTTAGGTAAACCACTGGGTTGCGGAGAAGCAGTGGATCTAAATAACATCCACCGAACTGATAGATGCTCAGAAACTCATTCCATCTGTGTCTGAAAATGACGAAGAGTGTAGTCAGCTTAAGTGCAGGCTGATAAGAAGCTTACGCAATGATCGCAAACAGTGGTCGGTATTGAAAGCTAGAGAAATGGGAAAGACAGCGGCGATAGGCAACACTAAACAACTATTCAGACTTATCAAGGAAAACAGTATCAGGTTTCGCAGTTAGGTTGAATGAGATCTTAAGTAGAATCTGGGAACAGGAAGTAATCCCATCAGACTAATCTCAGTCACCGATTGTGAAACTCGACAGCTTCTCATTAATTTATGCACTGAAAACGGAAAATTCAACTTTCTTTTTTTTTCATAAAATTAATTTCACCGTCATCTAATATGTTCTTTTATCTTTAGCTTATCGGTGGATCGGCAACTTCTGTTGTCACTGCCCAAAATAGTGGCTTAGCTCCTGGAGAAGTGTGGGTGAGAATCACTATTGTCCATGGTGCCAATCATCCGATGGTGGATCTCCAACAGTTGGTCACCACCGTTGTTGGGACACAGCTACGTTTCTACAATACATGCGTTGAAGGTAGAAATGCATTGATGCATGCAAAAATTAGACAAAAAGACGTAAGTCCTCATTTTATTTTATTCAAATCAGTCAGTTGTCTTTGCATCACGTTTAGTAATGTCCGTGTTTAAGTCTTCACATCTAATAGTGACAATAGTCAATATCATAGAAAAGTTAGTAAAGACATCTATAAGACAAGTTCTCTTGATCCTCAAATCAAGGTAATAAATGTTACTTTTTGCATATCGTCCTGACTTCTTTACGTGTCTGGATATCGTCATCCATCTTGTTAGACTAGTTATTAAAATAACTTAGGTACTTCTTTTAATAGTGTCTCTCTAATGTTGATGTTTATTTACGAACCATCGAGTCACAGTTTTTACTCCCGTCCCGCTTCTGATTGAGTTTGACGTTGTCCCAAACGCTAATCCAATGTGGTCTAAGACGTAACATACAAATCTGCCTATAATTCTGATTCACATTTCCAAAGTATCTAATCATACAACTGTTGAATTTAAACTTTTGAATTTACTATTAAAAAGTAACAACTATGTATTTTTTTTAGATTCAAAGTTGTCGCAAATCACTCCAAAATTTGCGCGATCCAAGTCAGAATTCACAGTTCATTACTGACGTAACAATTGTTCCCGAACCCAGAGTCCCTTCTTTATCTGATAAAAAAAATGAATCACCGAATACCTCTCCTTTGCCAGAAACTTGGATTGAAGCATTAAAGCAGTGCTTTGTTCAACGTTATCAGCCTACCACGCGTAGTTTGGACCTCTCTTCTCTGCACACAGATCCAACTCTTTTAAGTCAGGGACTTTATTTACCTCTTAACAAACAAGCTGTAGTTCATACCCTTATTACTATCCTGAAACAAAATCAAGCACAGGTAATTATTTTGCTTGTTTACAACATCAGTTCTGAAGTATATTTTCCTTACAAAGTACTTTTCATAATTTAAAGCCATTTGATAGACGTTTAAAGGTATGATTAACTAACAATAATTGCAAAGAACCAATAACCTATTTAAAATGCATAGATTAAGAAAACTACACTAGTCAATACATATTTAAATGAATATATTTGACTGGCAGTTCTCATACCACATTAGCACAGAGACGCCATTGTCAATTCAAATTCCATAGTGGTAGAAACAGTAGAAGGATTAACCGTAATTAAGAAGATTAGGGTTCAAAGTAGTAGTTATTCAACAAGTATAATCCAGTAAAATTAATGTAGAAACGGGCTTGTGACCAGCAGTATCCCTGAAGGGGCTCCAGGCGGATGTTCCGCTACTTAATTTCTGTAGTTTTTCATCACCATTTTCAAATTTCTGCATCTTTCTATACTTGTGTATGGTATTAGTTTTGTTTATGCTTTCAATTGAACTGAAACGAGTAACTATAATTTTGTATTGTATACAGCTCCACATAATAGTCCAACGTCAAGCTTTTTACATCCTTTTTTAGATACTTAATTTATTAATTAGGAAGCAAAAAACCCCTAGATCATGAAAATTGTTGAGACCATTATTTTTTCATCTGTTGAAGGTTGTGAGTATAGAAATCTGTTCCTGTAATCTCAAGTTTCAAAAATTAGACGATAAATTCTCAAGTTAATTATCGTTCATTTTCGTTAGTAGATAAAGTCTATCTGGTTGAGGTCCGCAGGATTTTTTAATACATATAGTCGGGGAAATCGATTAGTATGCATCAGTGACTTTGTCACATTTGCACTAGTCCATTTACACCGTCATACCCTCAGTCCCTAAGTCTAAAAATTATTCCTTACCTTTTAATTCTCCCGATTCATTCTCCATAAATCATCTCGATGTAGTCCTTGTTTACTGTCACCTATCTTACTGCTACTTTTGGTATTCGTTTTGATTATTTCCCTGTGTTGATGTAGTTTGACTATTTGAGTCAATCAAGATCGATATCAGATCCTACATCGCTTTTGACTGACTGATTTTTCCCAAGGTCGGCTTGTTTAAATTTCTTTACTGAGTTACTTGTCTGTGTTATGTTTTGTGTGTCTAATTATATGTTGATCATTTATTAAAAAACTGGGAATAGCAAAGTGATTGAAAGGATCAATATGCAACAAATAAAGTACAATATACAGGTAAAACCATTTCATCATTAGGTTCGGGCGCACCGTTCCATGGGTGTCAAGTAAGAGCAGCTGTCGAGTAGTTATCCACATTTTTATGTTCTTAAATGTACAGTTTCTGCTCTTTTCACCCATGGCATTAAGCATTCTATAAAACCTCTATAAAATGTATAAACCTCGAACTTGTTTTAAAGTTTCATTTAAACTAAGCACAATTTTCTACTTTATTTTCTTTATGAAGCTTGCTGTTCTTAATCTCTCGAACAATCGACTTACTCATTTGAATGCTTTCTCTCCGTTATCCTCAACGAGTGTTGGAGTTATTCCAGTGTCCATTGAACGTATAGATCTCAGTTCAAATCCTCTAAGTAGCATACCTGTCCTTTCTGGCCTTCGAGATATCGTTGGTTTGGTCGAATTAGACCTTACAGAAACTCCTTTATTGTCAAAATTCAATCCAAACGACAAATCATTTGCAGCGTGAGTCTACATCTTCGCCCTAATGGTCTCGTCCACTTGTCTGCGACAATTGGCCTTCGCTTCGGTGGTTAGTCAGTCTCGCAGCCTGTGGTGTCATCTTCCCGAAAATTTCAAGGATGTTAATTATTATGGTTTTCTTTTTTTGTTAGGTGTTCTTAATTTTCGATTGCATTCAGTTATCACCGTTAACAAATCAAGTAAACAGATTTCTGTTCTCAGAATGCAAGTGCGGATATTGGTTTAATAAAAATTAAAGATCACATGTAAAAATAAGATACGTTATTGAAAATCAGACAGCTTAAAATACTGGCACCATGAATCAACTGCTTATTTATTGTCAACAAATTTGTGTACGTGATTCCCAACAGTTTCTAGACGGTCATAGTACAAATTGCGCGAAAAAGAGTAAATATTAGAGTTCGGTTGGTTTTTGTATATATACAAAAATAATGTGAAAACATTTTTCATATTCTGCTGCACTCCGTTTACGAAAGATTGTACACATTTTCTAAGCGGCATCAATACTTTTTATTATTGAATGATGGTCAAAAACGTCGCTTGATGATGTAGGTAGTTAATGGTTTTGACGACGATTTCGCCAAGTTAAAGAAAAGTACTTAGTTTCATTCATGTAAAAGTAAATAACTATTCTCAAACTGGGTATATGCTCTACACAATTGATGTGACTTACACAGATATCTAGTTGCATTGATTAACATTAAACAAAAAATGAATTCTATAGTTCACTATTGAAATGGTTCTGTTTGTTAAACTACCTAATCTAGGCTTTTGTGTCTTTTATTAAATACCTGATTGTACACATTTTGTAACCTTCTGAAAAAATAGTTTTCAATTTTCTTTTTTAATCAATCTTGGGATTTTACGGATTCACTGCGTTGGCTCAGTAAATTACATACTATCTTACCAACGATCAAACGTGTAGTAAGTGGCTGTAGATAAACTTTCGTTAACTTTATGCTGTATGTTGTATTTGATTCAAAATGTGTATAGTACATTTCACATATGTATGTATGTAAAGAGAGGTTTAGGTAACATTATAATAATCTTAATGGCTTAAATTACAATGACCAGAGACAGTTGTTCAGTTATGATTAACTATGTAAATAGCTTTCCCAAATACTATATGAATAACAATCGCAATTTAAATTACCTTAGCTACCTGTGGGCCTGGTGGGTAAGAACGATGAACTAAGGGTCCTTATTCTGATTGGTAACTGAGTAGTACCCCTGAAGATGTTTAAAATCAAGTATATGAGTTTGTACCTAGTAGATGGATTATTCATTTTACTATTAGTTTGTCAACTGAGAGTTGAACTTAAAGTCGCTCAGTTCCTGTTATTAACCTTGAAGTAATATTTTGGTATTTTGACAATTGATTCTCTTTGTGAAGAACGTTGATTCAAACCGTAACACTGAGGCTTATGTGGGAATATGTATCTTCAAAATTTTCCCATTGGTCATATTTTGGTTTGTTATTTTTGCTTGCTTATATAAAGATAAATCTTTGATGTGTTCTTTATTATATTCTAAAACTTTACTCAGTGTTCGTATTATGAGAATAATGCATTATACTCCGTTATAGAATGGACAAGAATTACCGCACACTGTGCAATTTGCAATTGAACAAGGTTTAGATTCTTCTTCTAAACGGCCTCCAACAAAACCACTTCCACAGTCGATTTTGGGTTTCTTTCCGAATGATGAAGTTAAAATAGCTTTGTTGAGTTTTCTGAAACTGTAAGTTCTGTTTTAGAATTGCTTTTGTGATTGTTTAAATGAAAGAGTAGTTTTGAATATTTTCATTAGGGTATATTTGACATTAATCTCCGAGTGTCATTTTCATTAACCTGCAATTTCAGGTTCCATTGTGTCACTCAAAAAACTTATTTCAACACAAACATTAATACAAAGGTGCACCAGAAGTCACATGCGCCACATGAATCATTGAATTTATGTGTGAGCTGGGATGCTACACGGATGCTCATATTTAATAGCTTCCACTCATTTGTTCTACCGCTCAAGTGGATTTTTGATTGTTTAATGAAAGCATTGAATTTCTTTATTTGCTAACTTCATTACATTTATTACTGGTATGCATTTCCATCATTAGATTAACTTGAAAAAAATTGTTTTTTGCACGAATCTTTCAATCTCGTACACACACTCAAATCGCTCACGTCCAGGAATTTTGCCTTAACCTGTGTTTGTGTTAGTATGCACTGACAGTCTATATTTATTTTTCTCTTAGCAAAACAGTAATACATCTCAGTAAACGCCTGGGTTTAGTTAGTTTCATTTATTGCATTCACCCAAATAGTGCTGCGCCGCCATTCGAGAACAAAACTGTCAATTCATATTCGGTGTCTGATATCTGCATCAAGACATTTAGTGTTAAGAAAAGTACCTAGCTGTTAAAATTATGGTGGCGGTTATATTTTTTGCACTCACCACTTATGGAGCTTCTATTAGAGCTAACATTTCCGTATCGTTCACGAGTACTTAGTTTTTGTATCCCAAAATCTGTATTTTCTCTTTATTAGTTATGCTCGTTTTTCGTTACTTCTGTAATGTAGGTACTTGAGTCGCTATGATTCTAAACCCCGAGGTGAATGTTTGCTACCTTACTACACGACTGTTTCTCAACTGGTTTTTTCCGTGTCTCCCGAAAATCGTTTTCCTAATTCACAAAATGTATCATTCACTGCACGCATACAGGCAGAAAATTGTTCTGATCAACCGACTACAACGTATCTTACCACTTCACGATTGACTCAAGCTTACTTTTTACGAAGTCGTAATCTTCTTCGCTGCCGAGACCAAAGCAGACGACGCGATATGGTTATTCGCGGTAGTTTGGGTATTGCCCATTTTTTGGACGAGCTACCAGCTACGGAACATCAACTAGAATCTCTGTCTGTTGATGTTGCTTTTCACTCAGTAGGTTTAAATTATTTTTATGTTTCTTTTCGGTAACTATTGAGAATAGTGCAATGTTTATTTCCTAATGATTGATAATCACAAGGCAGTTGTGCTCAGTACCACAGAAATCAAACTAATAGATACGTGTTCGCTTATTTTCCTTTCCTTTAGTAATTAATTGCTTATATCTTAGAACTCCTATATATTTCATATTACTTTTGCATTATCCACAGGGAACCCAAATGTTATTTACAATGGGCGGTGTCTTTTACGAGGTTTCTCCGATGGGTTCAAATTCCAGCAACTCAAGTTCACAGGAAAAATCTGTTCGCAAAGTCCTTCGATGTTTTACTCGAACTATGATACTGATTGCTCCAGGTGGTCATATAGTGCAAGATGATTATATTGTGTCTAATCCAAGTACTTCCTTGTGTAAGGTAAACGCTACTTATTTAAATGTCATCGTCGTATGTTTATTTTTACGAATAAAGCTTCCATGTATGCATACTTGTAAACGGAACTTTATGAAACTCTATGGTTATTAAATAGTGTGTATGACGAGATGTTTCAATCAAACCTCTGAAAGGTATTATAATAAGACTACAGATTCTGGTCAATTGGGATTTTACTTGTAGTCAGTCAGCTACGAACTTAATCCTGATACAGGCTGAAGTCGCCACAACGCACATCAGTATTTACGACTCTTACACCACTCCTATACCATACGCAAGCAGTTCTGCAAACATACTTATCATATCCATAAATAAACACAAAGCAAACTGATTGTAAATATATCTTCACCAGACAGATTTATCACATCTGAATCAAAATTTATACGAATTCGCTAAAACTAAGTGATTATTTGTTATTGTGTAGAGATTTCTTCAGATATTAATTTGCCAGAGGTTCCCAAGGTAGATGATCCTAACTACTTAATTCACTATAGTTGACTCATAAACCTAAATCAGTTCTTAATCAAACCTTAAAATTCATAAATTCTTCTACAATCAAACAAAGAAATTATTGACACAGGAGATATATCCATGAAAAAGCTAATCAGTGTTGATAAGTAAGAATATGTTTCAGGAACTGTTGTGCAGTGTATGTTCAGTTTATCAATAACTAGATCTGAAACTGATTCACGGCCAGATGGAATCAAGTCCAACCCCAGACTCTATATCATATCTCCACCAACGTAACTGAACCATCACCCTCTAAGATTTCCTAAATCAACCCTCTCACTCCTAGTTATACTATTCTGAAAGTCGCTGTTAGCCATTTAAACCGTAGGCTTTTTCTTTACATATTAGATAAAGTTCATTTAAACAAACCTTCAAAATATATTCCACTCATCTTATTCACCTGAATCATTATCCCTTCATTCTTCACAATAGTTCAGCTAGTCACTGGCCTTTTAATCCATCTTCTAACTGGCTGTATAATACTAAATATCGCTACAGGCAAAATTACAGCAGTTTTAAGAGAAATAATTGCTACTATCATTATTCTACCAGTTCCTTATTGTTTTACAGCTAACCACTTTAATACGAAAAGTTAAACACCACTAAAATGTTTTGAAAATGACTGATTTCATTCTTTTGTTTTGAGTTATCAGACAAGAGTGATAGAGTAAATTTGAACCTCAACTAATTTTTTAATAACTGTAAAATTTTGTTTTAGAAATACATTACTGAAATGGCTACAAGATACAAGCAAAGCAATCAAACCCCGAACCAACAGCAGAATGTTCCTAGCGTTGATCTTTCTACGCCTGAAGTAAAAGAAAGTATAGTAATTGAATTTAGTCGGCGCACTGGTATGAACGTTGCTTTCTCGAAACAATGTCTAGAAGAGTATGAATGGAATGCCAACGCTGCACTGAGCGCTTTCGAAACTATGAATTCAGCTGGTAAAATTCCACCTGAAGCGTTTTCTACATAATCTTTGAACCAACATTGTGAAATCTCAATTTATGCAGTGTATGTACGTTTGTGTGTATCTAGATGTATTCATATTTTCTGACGTGTTACGATTCGTCATTGGTTGGGTTACTCGTGGAACATTTCCCATCATGTTTTTTATTCTCGCTGAGTGACTGATTGTCAGAATGTTAGTTGTTGTTTGGCTAGAAAAGTTTGTTTGTATGTGTGTGCTTCGCTCGTTCTCCAGGCCCAAAAAAATTCTGTTGGGAAAATAATCTCTCACTTTAAAAATGTTAAAAAATATCACGAGGTTAAAAAGAATATACTGCTGTAAATACAGCGCTGAACCCGGCAGTGATAAAAAAAAATCTAAAAAATTGGGTCACACGGTGAACTAGAGCTATGTTTGTTTCTTGTTGTTGTGGTCAAATATACACTAACTTTTGATGTATTAGTTATTTAGCAAGAATAAAAATATGATGGTTAAATGTTCCAACGTAATTGAACTGTTGGCTGATTGCTACACTGTTAGAATATTGAGGTGCATCAGATAACACTTGCGTGCATGACATTGCAGAAATTAGACTTCATAATTTTTATTTCTTCAAGTGTTTGTAATTTCCTACTTACATCTCTACATCTCTATGACTATGCATTAACTCTCGACTCATTGACTTTAACGCTCCAACTTTTGTTGTACAGTTTATGTTCCAAACGTTAAAGCAATAAAAAATAAATTGTAATACATGACAGACTTTCATTTATCAATACGCTTAATCATTATAGAAAACTAGCAAATAATTAGCAATATCAATAAATAATCAGGTTAATCCATAATCAAAAACGAAAGTAAATAATATCATTGCAATTAAGGCGACGTCGTAACACATTTGAAGTCATACAAGTAAGAAATCTAAAAAGAGGTTAAGGTAGACAATGAGGCTATACATTCGACTGTTAGCGATCCAATCCATAGTCTATTCAAATACTACATTTTTGCAAGATCATTGCTTTCGTTGTTTATATTAATGGATTTCTGTGTAACGTCGCTACTACAAACATTTGCACTTGATACATTGGTGCTATTTTCAGAGTTTAATTCTACTGAGGTAGTCACTGCATTGATCTCTGTTGATAAATTTGCAATTCCATCAGTATTGAGATTAATTGTTGGTGTTGTACAATCCCTAAACGAATGTGGCTGAAAATTTTTCTCCAACTCTCTTAGCGATGGAAGAGAGTAACTTCGATGCATCTCATGCATGCTTGATTCAGAGATATTTGCGTAGCAATCATTTTGTGAAAGTTCACTATCATCGATACCTAAAGTTAAGAAGGATCTAGCTCTCTCATGACTTTGTATGTCGAAAATTCCGCTTGTATAGTCGAGCTCAAAATATTGAGAATCTTCGGTGGGATCGTTTGATTGAATCGGCTCATCAGTATTAACTTGGTTGGCTGCACTAATGTTCATTTCATTCACTGGTATTTTAGCACCGTTTGTGAAATTCCTAGGCTTCCCTTTCTGTAATGAAAATATTAGTGTAGATACATTTTATATTATATTGATAACGGTCTATTTCTGAAAACAGTATATAATCTGAAAGTTCGAAAGATGATACAAGACTAATTTATTTTCATAAACATTTCTGTCTAGAAGAGCGTTGGACTCTCAGTAGTCAGTTAACTGGAAATATACATAGATTTGATTGTACACTCCTGAGTTTACATCTCTACTCACAGTCTCTTTTGAAGTTAGAACAACACATATAAGCGAACAATATTGTTTTCGATTAGATCGTCATCAGGCTTTACTCTAATATACATGAATATTTATATGAAAATGTTAAACCAATCAAGGCAATTTGAGTGATAATCACAATGAAATGAAAAAGGCAAAAGTACAAGTGGATAGTAGGAAGATAGGTGAACCGATAGTAGTAGGACAATTTATAAAATATGATAACTAAAGTAGGTCAAGGGTGGATGAATAGAAATCAAATAATCATCAAAAACATCAAAAACATTACGGAATAAGCAGATGTGTAAAAATAATAAAATTAAATTAAAATAAATAAAATATATATATAATGTCAATCGTTAGTTACGTCATATCCGGCCACGGAAGAGATAGGGGTGTCACGAATTTTTTCTGAACACATAAATTAGGGTTGAATGTGCGTATTCCTATGGCTTCTGCAATGTGTAGGAGACGGGATCGAACTCCGTTGGGAAATGATGGAGGTATACGATAGATCACCCGAAAAGATCTAGATTTATCTACAATGTGACCACTATCTACCAGGTGTGCTAAGATAGAACTGCGTATTGTTTTTGACTGACCCTTTGTAAACCATGCTGGTAGATGTTCACTCATTCGTTGTGTAAGTTGCCTGGAAGTACGCCCGATATAGCTATCTCCACAGGAGCAGCTGAATTTGTAAATGCACATAGAGGAGGCCAGCTCAGGTAACTTATCTTTCGTTTGAGTAGACATCGCAGGTCGACTGGAGAAAGTCAATGCAAGTTTTGCAGCGTTGAATGTTCTGTTGATTACTCTTCTTAATCTATCCTGCAGAGTATCGCAGGCCACATCTCCGTTGAATTGCAGCTTCATAAACAAAGGCTTCTTTCGGGCAGTCGAAACCACCGGCTTCTTTTTTACGGCAGACATATACTTCTTTAAGAATGCGCTTGGATAACCAATCTCGGTTAGTGAGTGTCACTCAAATGCTTCTGTTCGTTTTTGCAGATATGAGGCTTTTGTCAATGAAATTTAGTGACATTCTTTATGGAAATATGGTGCCTAGCATGAGTGTGGAGTGTATACTATTTTTGATGCTCAGTTTTATCAGACTGAAATAAATAACGGCTTAGTGAGGATAGTGATCAAAAACTATTGCATAGGTGATACTTGGACCGTACCGTCACTGACAGTTATGAAGGATTCTTACATGATATATCAATCTGCACAAAATGTACTAAAGTTAACCGGATTCCATCTCTTAAACAAGCGATGAATAAGTATAAAAACGCCACTGTCAGTTATATATATATATATATATATATATATATATATATATATATATATATATGTGATTAAATGTAAACCTCATTATTTGTAATAGTTTTGGGGACGTACCAAGTTATTCAGAATTATCAGCTCAGATTGAGGTTAGAGTTTACGAGTGAGTACGGTTAATTTATCAGCATCAAAGGCTAAATCAGATTTTACAATGTCCCAATTCATAGTTTTTTGAGTGCTAAGATTGTACGACTAAACTAGGATATGAACCGACTGCGATGTTAATGTACATATGTAAATGTTGAATTGCTCCGAATGGTAATAATGAATACTTCCGTCCTGCTTTTCATCTATCTGCGCTATGAGTTTCCACTTGTTGTCCTATCTTATAAGTGTAATTTGCTGTGATGGTGTTTATCACCACCTTTCTAAGAGATATTTCGGGAAGTTGTAATCGCAATGGATGGTGACCGATTAGAATTTTACAGTCAGTCGCCAACAGATGTGACCTTTTGTTGTCATATTCTAACCATGCTATTATACTTAGATTCATTAGTGGCTAGGTGTTACCGCTTGCCTTGAACTGTTCCAATTACTACTATAGGTAGACATCAGTATCCACTATCCTTCTGTCTAAAAAATTCAGATCCTATGTGCCGATTTATAAATCAAGTGGCAAAACGATTACGCTTTTTTTTGTGGAAAAAGCGGTGTTTCCTTACACAACCGGTTAGGACAGTCACATGATATGTCGCTAGCCAGTTAATTTGGTACTTCAGAACAGCAGTCGAATCCTTTTCTTATTTAAAGAATCTACATAGTTTTATTGACCTCGTAATTCTGTATTATTTTGAAAGTGAAGTGTTTAGATCAATCAACATAAAAGAAATACTACAAATTAAGTTAGTAGACAAGAAATGTATTCATTAATTTGTGATGTGAATACCTACCTCGTCCATTTGATATTGATTAACAGTGTGATTACTGTATGAGCCTCGTATTTTGTTATTTGAACGTATTGGCTCTTTCCTAGACGAGTGATATAATTGTGTGTCATAAGCATTAGAATGATTCTTTTGATATTTTTGTTGTTGAAGTTGACTATGATGGTGTGAATGATAACGGTTATTCTGAAGATTATAGTGATGATGTTGATGATGTACAAAGCGTGGTTGTTTCTGAAATTCATTAATAAAAGAATGACAATTAGCGGAAATCTTTGTTAATTTATCATTTATTTCAGGTGAATCAGAAACTAATAAATCATCTGACTGCCATTTAGATAATGGTACAGATAATATTGGATCATGTAGAATAGGCCGATCAACAATGAAATTCTATGTAATATCATATAAAATTTATTCATGAGATATATTGATTAAGGTGGAGAAAAAGATGATAGGCAAATAGTAAGTGCACATGAGATAAGTATGGAATTATTTTTAAACAAAGTAGTGATCATCCATAGTAGGACAAATGCAAATGGTGAATAGCAACACAAGTTCACATCGGGCATCAGATGATACAAGCAGCGTAATCAAATATGCACAAATTAAACAGCATTTATGCATAAAATTAGAAATATTTTACCCATTGTAAATATATATATGTATAGAAATCCAAGACGATGAATGTGAATGAACATCGGCATAATGAAATGTGAAAAGAAAGAAAAAAAATATAATTTTGTTTTATCATTATAGGGTTGTGGAGATTGTTGACTTTCATTAAAATCGTGGATCGATCAACGTTAGACCATCATTAGAAACCTGGAAGCACAGCCCCTTAATGACACAATTACCATATGCTCACTAAATTTATGAGGGAATTCTCGGAGTTCTAGTGAGAAGCTGTGACCAGTGGAGTTCACCCAATAAAAGACAATGAATGAGGATGAGCAATATCATGGACTGATTGAAGTGAGACAATGACATCGTGGTTTAAATGTTAATCATCCGCACATAGGACTGAATGTGCTTGGTTCGGTTCCCGTGTACGGGCATCGTGAATGCACATTGCCGATGAAAGACGAAATGACCGTTCAATGCTTCCAGGTTTCTAACGGTGCTTTGACATTGATCGATCCATGATTTCAATAAAATTTTGTTTTGCTCAATGAATGAATTCATGTTACCTTCCGATTAGTGAGATGAACCAAACTCAGTATTTATAAATATCGATTAAACTATTTGTAGTTATTTTCTATTGGAATTTTAGTTTTGTGCTTTTACTATCTATACTATAATTTTCATAAAAGTTACACTGACTGAAATAAGAAATGAACCAACTTAAAATTACCACGTTTTGAGATCTTAATCATAATCAATATGAAATATATAGTGTCGAATAATTCAAGAGAAAGTGTCCGCCGTCTAAGTTTATGAGACCTGATGGTTAGATTTGTATTTACATCGAGGGAATCACTGTCGAGCATCAACTAGTGGTTCACCAAATATTAAGATTGATTTTCAAAGTAGAATGACAATAAATTACAAGATCAAAAGTCGGAAGAAAATCAGTTAGACGTGGGAAAATTACATTCAAGGGTCATTTGAAGAAACTAATCCTGAGTTTCTTCAAGATGAAATAATGCAACCATGGGAAAAATTACACAATCTTTTTTGGTATAAGGTAATTGTGAAGATTGTAGTATTTTCATAGCTGAAATCATCAACTGATCCTAGTCAAACCATCATTAAAAACCTAGAAGCACTGTACGGCCATTTCGTCGTAGTATGGGACTACTGATCAGCAGTGCGCATCCACAATCCCTGAATGCGGAAACCAAACACAAGATCTTCAGTCACTTTACTATTTGAAAGGTGATTCATCAAGAATTTTCTTTATGACTGAGTAAATAGTTATCATAATATTTTTGGCCCGACCGAAGCTGCTACCTTGACGTGGTGGTCGGGCTTGCCTATCGTGATGACCCAACCGAGCTATACTGGCTGGAACATATGTTCCTGCAGGTCCTACCATGCCAGGCAGGTCGATTGGAGAACGATGAGACTAAAAGCAGCTACCCAAGGTCTGAGGGCGAAGTCGTACTGCTGACTGCAGAGGGGTGTGACAGCAGTAAGGTGTTTCCCTCGGACAACCAGCATCTGCAGCGATGCTGCCTTCTCACAAGGAAGGAAGGGTTAGAAAAGGTCGGCCCTAAAAATGTCACACTCCCCCTAACTCACGGATTTCCGTCTCCCTGGGTAAGGGTGCCCACTAAGGGCCTTTAAGAACGGAGCTAATCCTCAAAATACCTTTGATAAAAAGGCCGTGCGTGACCGGCCTCAAGCAGTTGTCCCTTGGACTCTGCGGTCACGCACCAACACTAATCCATCTTCCTTTTCAGGTCCCTCAAGAAACAACCTTCCACGGTGTGGGCAGCCGGGAAGTGACAACCGCCCTCATACCCGTACCAGCACGCGAGACCAAATCGGTCAAAATCAAATCCTTCCTACACCCCCTAATGTCTCTCTTATCTCTACGACTAACTCTACTCACACTCCCTTTTCTCACTGCACCGCTAATGCAGACGAAGTGAGATCGCGAAACGTCGTTCCTGGTCTCTTGAAACCCCGTTCTAGACTACATATTGGAGCTTTTAATGTACGGACATTGTGTCAAATAGGGCAACAGGCATCATTAGCTAGGACTTTAGAATCTCGTGCCATCGATGTATGCTGCGTCTCGGAAACGCGCATACAGGATCCTAGTAAAGTCATTAACCTGATTTCACCTTGTCAAAACGTAGAAACTGCTCGATTTACTCTTCGTGTATCCGGTAGCCCTGATGCTGCTTCCAGGGGTCTTGCTGGGGTAGGCATAGCGTTGAGTCCTAGGGCAGAATTATCTCTCCTAGACTGGATCCCAGTAGATAGTCGTTTGTGCGCTGTCCGACTAAACGGGACAGTAAGGACTCGTAAGGATAGGGACACTCGCCGTTGCCTCTTCGTCATATCTGCCTATGCCCCCACTGACTGCAGTTCAGACGAGGTTAAAGATGAGTTTTACAGAAAGCTTTCGGACCTCCTTCAAAAAGCTAGGCGCTCTGATATAGTAATAATGGCTGGTGACTTTAATGCTCAAGTAGGTAGACTAGGTGAAAAGGAAAGACATCTTGGTGGATGTTATGGTGTAGCGACTGAGAGAACAGACAATGGTGACCGTCTGTTGCAGGTATGTTCAGACAACCGCCTATTCTTAGCGAACACCAACTTTAGGCATAAGGAAAAGCATCTGCTGACCTGGCGACCTCCAAAGTCGTCTCAACGTTGGACTCAACTAGATCACATCGCCATCAGTCACCGATGGAGGGGTTCGATAGAGGACTGTCGCTCGTTCTGGAGCACATGTTTGGATTCAGATCATGCCCTAGTGCGAGCGCGTATTTGTTTAAGGCTTACTGGGCGTAGGAAAGACACCGTAAGAAAGCCTCTCAGGGTTTTACTTAATGATAATCAAACCAAGAAAATATTTCAGGAGGAACTAGAAAGAGAGTTATGCAACGATGTAAGTGATTCCCATCCAGAAGCAGGTTGGTATGATATCAAAAAGGCTGTGGAAACAGCAGTGATATCTGCTAGTAAGGTAAACCATAAGGCTAGGATGAAGCCGTGGATATCAGTCGCATCCACCGAACTGATGGATGCTCGAAAACGCATCCCACCTGACTCTGAGCATGATGAAGAGCGTAGTCAGCTTAGGCGTAGACTTATAAAAAGTCTGCGTAACGACCGCGAACAGTGGTGGGTGGCGAAAGCAAAAGCGATGGAAAAGGCAGCGGCGATCGGCAACAGTAGACAACTTTTCCGCCTTATTAAAGAAACTGGTATTAAGAACCCGAATGTGAGTGAGACTATCTCGGAAAAGGATGGTCTTATTATCCATTCTCAATCCAGGAGGCTGGATCGATGGGCAGAACACTTTAGGGATCAGTTCAACTGGCCACGAGCCACTCTTCAGTTACCCACGATCTCCAGTCATCCTGAATGGCAAATCGACGTAAGTCCCCCTAGTCTTTATGACGTTGAGAAAGCGTTAGGAAATCTGAAGCGAGGACGAGCCGCAGGTCCTGATAGACTGACCCCTGAGATATTTAAGGATGGTGGTCCAGTTTTAGCAGCTAGGTTGACTGAGATCTTAGGTAGAATCTGGGAACTGGACGTAATCCCATCCGACTGGTCTCAATCCTTGATTGTCCCAATCTATAAGAAAGGACAAAAGTCTTCTTGTGACAATCACAGGGGAATAAGTCTAACTAATATAGTATCTAAAATACTGGCCTCAATAATACTTCGACGCTTAACGAAAGCTCGTGAAGAGCAGACTCGAGAAAACCAGTCTGGTTTTCGACCTGGACGTGGTTGTATAGACCACGTCTTCACACTCAGACAGGTCCTGGAACATAGACACACATTTAGGCGTCCTACAATAGTTGTTTTCCTAGACCTTAAGGCGGCATTTGACTCAGTGGATCGTAAGGTTCTGTGGCAGTGTCTGTCATTGAAAGGTGTACCACAGAAGTACATTAACCTTATACAAGCTCTTTACTCGAACACCACTGGTCGAGTGAGGGCTTATGGCGAACTGTCACCGGAATTCTCTACATCAAGTGGTGTCCGTCAGGGATGTCCACTTTCTCCATTCTTGTTTAATTTTATCATAGACATGCTCCTAGACATAACATTATCCTCGTCTGAATTTTCAGGAGTAGAACTTCTACCAGGTGGCTCGCTGATTGACTTAGAATATGCCGATGACATTGTCCTACTTGGTGAAGACGCTGACAAAATGCAGAGTCTTCTGACTACCCTAAGCAACAATGCAAGCATGTTCGGGTTGCGATTTTCCCCCTCGAAATGCAAAATGTTGCTTCAAGACTGGGTTGCATCGGCACCTGAACTAGTGATAGGGAGTGAAGTAGTCGAACGTGTAGACCGCTTCACTTATCTTGGGAGTCTCATCAGTGCCGATGGCCTGGTGACTGACGAAATCTCAGCACGGATACAGAAGGCTCGATTGGCTTTTGCCAACCTGCATCACTTATGGCGTAGGCGAGATATCCGTTTGCTGACTAAAGGACGAGTGTACTGCGCAGTAGTTCGCTCCGTCTTACTTTATGGCTGTGAAACATGGCCAGTGAGAGTAGAAGATATTCGTAGGTTAATGGTTTTCGATC